AACAATACAGGGCAATCTAATTGCCCTTTTAATTATTTGCTAGTTTTGTTGTCAATTCATCTCAAGGCAAAGGATTTCCACTTTCTCATCTGCCGGTGAAAAAGCTCATCAATTCTGGTGTTTTTGTTTTTGTTTTTATTTATCACAATCCGGTATGAAGTGGGTTTCATTTCATGCAGATTAAGATAAGGTGTTACAGTGCCTTTTCTAGTTTATAAATAAATTTGGGTGGTAAATAAAATTGGGTTTTCCGATTCAGCTGTTCTTAGTTCTTGGGTTTGACATAAGTCCATAAAAGTCATTTTATAAAGGGGTAAATTGTTTTTAAAATTATAAAAATAAGGTAGGTGGGGAAATAGGACAAGGGGGTGGAAATAGCAACACTCTTACCAGCATCTGCTTCTCTCCCTCTCAAACTCTAGCCGCCGCTCCTATCGTGCTCGCGCGCAAGGCGGGGTTGTCAGTCAGAGAATTTCCTCCCCCCTCCTTCACCATCTTCTTTTCCTCACCCTTTTCCTCTTGCCTTACTTTTGGTTTTTTGATTGAGCTTGTGGTCATTCTAACCCCTTTGAGGGTTTGGTTGTGCTCTCCGCTTTGTTTTGGCCCCTGTTTTACAGATTTGTCTTGGTATAGTTTGGGTTAATTTTGCAGATATGTGGGTTTCGTTTTTCTTTTTTTTTTTCTTTTTCTTTTTTTGTTATAGGTTCTTGTGTGGTTGCGGTTTTCCTCTCAACCTAAGCTTCGACAGTGGTGTTCTTGTTTTCATAGTTGTGACGACGGCGACTCTACTTTCCATCATTTCGGTTGGTTTTGCAGTTTTCTTGGGTTGTAATAATTACATCAACTCTTTGTGAGTTTGGCGTTTTGTTTGTATTCAAGTCTCTACTTGTATTTTTATTTAAAAGGTGTAGTTATGTTAGTATTTTTTGACATTATGGTCCATATCTGATTTGTTCATGCTTGCAGCTTTCATGCCAGACGTTCATCACTTACTCTAAAAAAGATATATATGTGAATATCTGAAGAAAAAAAAGGACACATCGTTGAATAATTCAATGGTTTACAAATAGAATCATCGTTTGAATTATTGAAATCGACAAAGAACACCCCACCTTAAAAAAATGATTGAAATTCCATTTTAGTATTCAATACCAATTTTTCATCATTAAATCTTTTTTTTTTTTTTTTTTTTTTTAACAACATATTTATAAAGATATTTTGACAAGGGCCCGATAAGCACTTTCAACAAAATTACAACATTACAGTAAGGCTCTTCATAATTAGGTATCAAATAACTCACAAATATAATCATCTGCATTCATATCAGTCAAACCCAAAAATTCCTCCAATCAAGTGGATACAATTGCCCCTAAATTAAAGGTTAATTGGTTAATCAGTTAACTTCATTAGCTGGTTAGTGACGTAGCAAAAATGTAAACAAAGTACACATTTCTTTTGGGATCCACCAGCATGTGATGGGCTTAATTAATAAAATGCTACGAAATTTTATTTGAGGGATACCCTTTAGGGTACTCTAGGAAATTTTGTTCAACATTCTAAACCATCCATTTTTCACATCTTCATTCAAAGATCATCCTTGCAAAACCAGCTATTTAGGATCCCAAAAGGAGGTACACCTTTCCCTAATTTTATAATGTCAAAAGGAGGCCAGAGTAATTTTCGGGGCATTTTTAGGATTTTTCTACTATTTATTACCTTTTTTTGAAAGATTTTTGCACTAAAAAAGCCAAAATAATCGCAAGAGGACACCTGGCGCGATCTTAGCCCGTCACCTTTCACCTCTTGCATAAGTGTACGTCAGTCAACATGGCCTAATTGATACCAACAAAATCAATAAACACGGTGTTACAATAAAGTACTTAAATTTCAAAACTTTAATTGAGCGGTCAAATGAAATCGGATTTAAGTGATTTTTTGTAGAGATGATCTTTGAATGAATATCTACAAAATAGATGGTTTAGATTAGTGAAATACAATGCGGAGTGGGCCCTACAAGAGTGTTCCTCAAATAAACTTATTTCAAAGATCCCTCAATGAAAGCTCTCTGATGTGTACAAGTTCACGAGATAAATTACATCGATTGCATATCTATAGAGCCAATTTTCCGGGTGACGTGTGGGATTTTTAATTGTCCAAGTAGTTTGCAATTATTTTATGGTATATTGACATTATTCTGATTCTTTATTTTTTATATGTTTACTAACGCATAGGTATTAAAATTATTCCAAACACATAAGAAATCAATATGTGAGTTCCACATTAACCAAAAATTAAATTAATTAAGGGAGTAGCTGACCTCATACATATTCTTCCTTTCCCCAATTCCTAAAGCCAAATAATGCAAATGAATTTCCTAGGGAGAGGAACATATAATCTGTGGGGTACCGGCCCTTGTGGGAGTCTTGAGCTGCTGTCCAAATCTTGGCATTACATGAAAAGTTATTAACCTTACCATTTTGAGATTTACAAATCCTCTCATTGCATACATCAATAAGCCAGTAATATGCACAAAAGCCTTAAAGAAGACTATAAGCAACAAGTTTTATGTAGTATTCTATAATTTCTCCACACAAAAGCGCACACAGAGAGAAGTTAGTGCATGATAAGGATAAGATAATCAATTCAATATACAATAATGTCTTATTGAATTGTCAATATTCACAAGCAAAATACTATTCTCACTCCTAGTTTGTCTTTTTATCTTCTTTTCGTAAGTATTTTAAAACAATAATAAGATATTAATTTGTGGAACTACCAACTGAAGGAGTGATAGCAATTGCCTATTCTAATTTTTGGTCCAGCAACCTTCCTAGTTCCTAACCATTCTGGATCTTGTGGTCCCTTGGCCAATTGTCTTATTCTACTAATTAGTGTCGTCGAGTCTTTTACTAAGGCAACAATGACTTGTTCTGTAAAGAGCATTTCCAGTTGTAAGTGCTTTTGCTAGAAGCACTTCTAAATTTTTCTATTTAAGTATATTATGAGGCACTGACTGTGAGATGATTGAGATAAAAGTTGGTTAAATAGTGTATTCTATATGTCTTATACTTGTAAGGTGTGTAGTCTTTTATTAATATATTTAAGTATGATTAGTTGTCATTCATTAATCAGTTATTAAAATTAACCACCGCGTGGATTAAGGAAAACTCCAAGTCTTGCATGGTTGCATTATATTTATCCTTTCAGATAACAACGATTATCCATTAAATTAATACTAATCAAAGCTCTCAGTGCTTATAAAAGCCCCCTGCACACCCTCACTAAGAGCCACAGAGAAAAGCCTGAAGCAGAGAAGAAATATGGCATCTAGATTCATAATCTTCTGTCTGCTCTTCTTTGTGGTAATTATTTCTTTCATCTTCTGTCTGCTGTTCTTGCTCCCAATATACTAACAGTATACTTACTAGTTACTAACTGTGCACAAGAAATGACACACTAAAAGAAATTCAGTTGTTATTTGCTCTAATATTTGTGGTGACAACTATATACTTATTAGAGCTTCTGTGTCACTTTGTTTTTTCTTTTGTAATTAAGTGAGGAGGGAATATTCGATCTTTTGACATTTTAAAATATTGAAAAAAGAAATGACACTAGACCGATAACTATTTTGTGTGTGAGTAATGTTAAGAAGATTACATTATTATACCACATTATGTGCCACCTCCCTAATAGAGGTACAACCCACTAGTAAGTCCTAACTATATTAGATAGGTAATATACAATTGTAATTTGTATTGTACAATAATATGGTCAATCTTAGTATTTTCCTTTTTGCTTATCTCATTATTAGATGATCATTGTATGCCCTGGTTACTAAAGTTAGATGTCAAATTGAATTTGGTCCCTACTCACCGATTGTTAAATTTCATAATTGTTTCTAAATAAATGGAGAGGGGATTTCAAACTTGTGACATCTTTTAATATTAGAAAGAAAAGTACCACTATAAGTTAGTTGGTGTTAAAATTTTACAATTGATATACGCATGTTTTGATTCATTACTTATTTTGCTTTAAGATCACAGGTTTTAAACGTTAAGTATTATAAAACGATATTGCTATATAGCTTGCATAAGATTAATCATCTTTGCCAGTGGGATATAACTCAGTTAGTTGAGCTCTTCTCCCTTTACCCATGTGGCAGAGGTTCCAAAAAACCCTAAACAACCAATGAATATTTGTGTAAATCTCCCTCCCCCAATCGTTTGTACTGAGGAAAAAAAAAATTTACCATCCTTCATTTAATTCAAATCTAACATAAAATGAAAGAAACTTGTTTTAGAAATTTCTGTAATAACTGTGATTTCTCCATTAAGTCCTTGATAAGAAATTCTGAAGAAGGAACTATTTTATATTGTTTTTCTTGTTGTGACATGAACTAGTTTATTTTAATCAAGCTAAGCTATGTATCTCTCGTCTTAATTTGATAGGATCCATGTACTTCTTTAATAGGACGCATTGATTCAGAAAATTGCTACAGTTTCTTGAATTTCTTGATTATATAACTAAAAATACAAGTAATTTAAATTGGAAATACAATTAGTAGTTAAAGAATAAGAGCAATATACTCAAATTTAAATAAGCACCTTATTATAAATTGTACAGATACTATCTGAATCTCAGGACAAAAAATGTAATGGTTATGTGTATTTATATACAATGTACTCTACTACTGCTAGTTCCTACATTTCTAGAAAGATTCAGCATACTATATAGTTGGTTATATATACATCGTCTATGGTTGCAATTTTGTCGGCAATCTTCAAATTCTACTTGTTTTGTGCACCAATTCTCCATAAATTAAGAAAGAGTGAAAAAGTCTCCATCTATGGCAGCATCCTCATCTGGAGTAAGCCATGGAGACTGATCCCTAGCTTTTATTTTATTTTATTTAAAGAAATTTAAAAAAAATTCTAGCAATGTTCTTCTTTTCCAAAAAAGATGAAATTAGATATGTCTTTTTAAGTAATTAATTTTTAAAAATGAGGTGGAACGAAAAATGGGAATGGAGTAATGTATAATGACTAAATTTAATCTTCTTTTTTTCTTTCTATTTCTTGTTATTCAAATGTAGTGTGGTCACGCCAATGGAGCAAGGGATGTACAACAATACAAAACCGCATATGGAGCTACAAAAAACATGAAGGAAGCGGAGGTAAGTGATTACATAACTAGTTATGAGACTACACAACACAATGTTAAGCATCACATGATCCTTACATAACTATAGTTGCATGTCAACTACAGGATTCGTCATATGGGCCTTACATAACTCAGTACAATTCTGGGCACAACTCAAAAGAAGCAGAAGTGCCATACATAACCAGTTATGGAACCAAAGAAGGCAGAAAAGAAGTTGAGACTCCTTACATAACTCAGTACAATTCTGGGCACAACTCCAAGGAAGCAGAAGTGCCATACATAACTAGTTATGGAACCAAAGAAGGCAGAAATGAAGCTGAGACTCCTTACATAACACAGTACAATTCATGGCACAACTCAAAGGAAGCGGAAGTGCCATACATAACCAGTTATGGAACCAAAGAAGGCAGAAAAGAAGCTGAGACTCCTTACATAACACAGTACAATTCAGGGCACAACTCAAAGGAAGGAGAAGTGCCGTACATAACTAGTTATGGAACCAAAGAAGGCAAAAAAGAAACGGAGACTCCTTACATAGCACAGTACAATTCAGGGCACAACTCAAAAGAAGCAGAAGTGTCATACATAACCAATTATGGAACCAAAGAAGACACAAAAGAAGCTGAAACACCTTACATAATGAGTTATGGAACCAAGACAGGCACAAAAGAAGTTGAGACACCTTATGTAATGAGTTATGGAACCAAAGAAGTTGAAGTGCCGTACATAACTGGGTATATTTTTCCACAAGCCAAAAAGGAGTCAAAGGAAGTTGAAACGCCTTACATAACTGGGTATATTTCTGCACAAGGAAAAAAGGAGTCAAAGGAAGTTGAAACGCCTTACATAACTGGGTATATTTCTGCACAAGGAAAAAAGGAGTCAAAAGAAGTTGAAACGCCTTACATAACTGGGTATATTTCTGCACAAGGAAAAAAGGAGTCAAAGGAAGTTGAAACGCCTTACATAACTGGGTATATTTCTGCACAAGGAAAAAAGGAGTCAAAAGAAGTTGAAACGCCTTACATAACAGGGTACATTTCTGCACAAGCTGCAAAGGAAAAGGCTATAACCAAATGTAAACATCACAAGCATGTAAATCGACCTTCCTCTGACACCAAAAACTCACAAGAGCCGCCATTGAAGGGACATGAACATCATCATATGCATACACATTCATCATCTCCCATGGATCACACTGAAGCATTCAAGGTAGGCTTTTTCACATTCGATGATCTATACAAGGGTAAGATAATGCCTCTAAACTTTCCCAAGCAAGAACATTCTCGTTTCTTGCCTAAAGAAGTAGCTGATTCCATTCCATTCTCAATGCCACAACTTCCGCACCTTCTCCAACTCTTCTCAATCCCACAAGGTTCTCGAGATGCAAAACACATGGCATATGCACTCGAACAATGTGAGATGAAACCCATCACAGGGGAGACCAAGTTTTGTGCCACTTCTCTAGAGTCCATGACAGAATTTGTTACCAAGATCATTGGTTCTGGTGTTAGCTTCAATATTCTCTCAACCACACACCCCACAACATCAACTGCCATCACACAAAGCTACACTATTTTGGAAGAACCCAAAGAAGTTTTAGCTTCCAAAATGGTTTTTTGCCACCCAATGGCTTATCCTTATGCGGTTTTCTTCTGCCACAACTTTGAGAAAGACACCAAGTTCTTCAAGGTTTCACTTGAAGGTGAAAATGAAGATAAGGTGGAAGCTATGGCTGTTTGCCACATGGACACATCTGATTGGGACCCTAACCACAGTTTGTTTGGCCTGCTGGGAATCAAAGCTGGTGCCTCTTCTCCAGTGTGTCATTTCTTCCCTGAAAATCATCTTGTTTGGATCCCATCACCAACTAAAGCTACTATGTGAGTAGGTAGCAATGTTCTTGAGTCTTTGTTGTTTGTATCATATTTCATGTCATGTGTGTAGAATAATGATCAGTTGCCAAGATCTGGCACTGTCATCAAGCATTCATGGTAATGTTTGGATCCTTGACATGCTTTCTAATTTGTTGTTTGTAAGAGCAAGTTTCATGTTAAGAAGACCTCAAGTGCCTAGATGTGATCTTTATGTCAAACAAGTTGTAACTTGTATTCACAACTCATTTCCCTAATTTCTTTTTGTTTTTTCACCAAGAACCACCTAGCTTTACTTAACAGGGAAACAAATGGAGTATTCATGACTTCATGCATCTTTTCCTCATGATTTTGAAATATGAGGAATGCTTAAGCAACGATAATGACAACGATCTACTATGGCAAAAGAATATAAGATTACAACGCAGAGAAATTAAGCCTATTTCAGCCCTTCGTACCCTCAAGCAATCCCTTTCTCTCAATTTCTCTCAATAAATATTCCACATACACTAACAAACTCACACTTTCTATAGGCTACATCAAGTAACCCTGCTAACCTAGGTTCCCATGCTAAGCTAACCTCTTTGGTAGTCTCATTACCACCCAATATCGAAATAGGAAACATGTGCGATGGGCTAACCATCGTCCATCAAGCCTTACCAGTTGGTTCGCATCGAAAGTGACCAAACTTTAATACCGTTGTGGGCCGGCCGGTCGAGCCTAGTCTCCGACCAGTCTCCCGTTACCTTGATCACTAATTCAAGAAGTTATTCCAACATGCAGGAGGATGTTAGTGTATGATGATAAGTGTCATCAAATTAGCTGCTAGTTGCATTTTTATGGTACAATTAGAGCTTGTTACTATAACAAACGAATTTATCTGAGCAAATAATACAAATTTTCTTTACTCTCTTCTTTATTCTTACTCTCCATTATGTATTATATATTGATTATAAAGTGCAATATATATTATTTAAGTATTATATTCTTATATTCTTTTTTCTTTTTTCTTTTTTTATCAGAACATGAACCAATTATATTACGAAGCTATGAACCAAAAAACAAAGAAGGATCATAAGGGAAATTTTTGTTGGAAGATGCTATGAGTCATCTTTTGTTATAAGACATTTGTTCAAAGTTATTTTAGAATAAGCACGAATACATATATATTTTATATAATAATATGTCATCTTGAGAAATAATTATAGTGTGGCTTCAGAGTATGGTCATATAATATTTATTATAATATAAGTGGATATTTATTGATATTATATCTTAAAAGTTGAATATCTTATCATTGATTGATATTAAAGACGTAAAGGAGTTATACTATGTAGTCGTATTTTAGTTCCTTATAGTAATTTATTCACATTAAAAAATAACAAAACAAAAAGAATAGTTTAGATGTTCAAAAATTGTTTTTGGTTACAAGTACAAAAAATAATTTCAGTTTGGCCAATTGGATTTATATAAAGTTACCCAAGTTTTATTGATTTTGGTTACAAATTATATAAGGCAACCGCCAACTCATGAATCATGAAAAAATCTGCAAATGTTGTGAAATAATTGAAATAATTGTAACAACATTATGGTCCACCCTAATCCATAACACTGTAATAGTCTAAGTTACAAAGAAAATGAAACATAGTACCAAGGTAAGAATGGCCTTTGGAGGAGTAAAATTATGTCATTATCTTTGTAAACACAACTGAAAATCTTGTAATCTACGAGAAAACTTGTAAACTTTCTACTTTTATACTTGTTTTTCTTGACTTTTAATCTTAACAATGTACTATAAAATCCATAGCCATGTTAGGAAAAAATATATAAATTTATAATACTTCGTGGATGTCTACAAAGTACAACCAACATAGAGTTCAACAATTAATACAGTTCTTATTTTAGAAATTGATTTCAACCAATTACATAGACAAAACTCAAGGTGAAAAAATTTGATGAATAAAGCCTTTCAAGCTCTCAAATAAATGTTGATGAGACAAAAGAAACAAAAAATTAAAACTATCAACCTCAATTGATTTTTAAAAACTAGGCTTAAAATACAGAGGAATTAACCACAACTAGCTATCATAATTCATATAAATAAAACCAGCAACTCATAATGAACTTGAGTAAAGCTACAATGAGGTGACATATCGAAATCAGGAAAAAAAAATTTAAAAGGTCTAAAACAGTTCTCATAAAAAAAATGTCTAAAACGGTAACTTTAGATTTATAAAGTAAAAAAATGACATTGCGAAATTCATAAGCATGTCATCGTGAGTCAAATAGAATACACTCAATTAAAAAATAACATGTCAAATCATATACCAATTGCCAAAAAAGAAGGGCATAATTACAAGACCCTTATGCAATTGCATTTGTGTTAAATATTAACAAAAAAATGAAAACTTGAGAACTTATATAACTAGTAACCAATTTTTAAAAAAATCTGGGCACATCAGTGCGCCTGGTCCACTATAGAAGGTGCCTTGGTCGCAGATACACAATTCTATCGTCAGGGAACCTGTAGTTGAGAAGGAAAATGGTATCTCATTTTAAGATTGATTTGATGTGGACGGCCAAGTGTTTTCCATTCAACAGAATACAACTTGCGACGAGTAATCTTTGGCTACCATAATTCCTTTGTTGATAAATTACACGCCATTTTATTCTTTATTGCGCATTAGAATTCTTTGACATGTATTATTCCCTTTGCATTTTCATTCTGTTGACATAAGATATTTTGTTGGATTTTGATAAGCATACCGGGAAAATGGGTTAGGATTAGACTATAGGGAGTTTCATTAAAACACCCAAAATGGAGGTTGAAATAATAAAAAAACCCAACACCCAAAACACTTTATAAACACACTCAAAACTCATCATTACACACTCAAAACCCATTTATAAACACACCCAAAAAGTTAACTTTAGGGTTGATTTTGGGTGTGTTTCTATGTTTAAATAGTGCTTAGGTTTTTTTATAAATACATGTCTAGGATTGGGTTTATCTATACAATAGGTCAGAGGTTCAAATATTTCCAATGTAACCAAAAGACGAGCTAAGCTAATCATAAAATTCTATGCAAAATCCTTCGTTTTCTTCGTTTCTTTTTTTATCGAAATCTTGACGTCCATGGACAGTCATAATTCACACAACTTTACCTTATAATGTCATCTACATATTTTATTCAAGGAGTGCTTGTAACTTGGTTTCATTAATCACTTGGAAGCAATAAATTTTGAATGCCATATAAAAAAAATAACTACAAACTGTATTTTTACAAACCTCACGAGGAATTCCATCCCTAGAATACAATGATTTCAATATCATGCCGTTTTAACAGTCCTCTCAAACCTACAAAGTGGAGATCCCTCGGGAAAAAAATTGCGGCTATAAGACAATAATAATTACTATAAAATACAAGCAATCATGTACATATGTAGACAAGCTCCAAAGCTCTCCTTTTGTTTACTTCTCAATGCCCTGCTGCAGATACTGTATCAAGTCGTAGCCAGCAGTTGTCCATTTGTTGTAGGCATCTGTGCATACATGGATCATAAAATTAGCCGCCTCACGCTCACTCATCTCGGGATGAAATCTCTTACGAAGATTTCCAATCGGATCTCCCCTACTGAAACAAGGCAGTCCACTGTCTAGCATTAACGAAACTGTGTTGATGATCCCATCCATGTATCGGCGGGCAGCAAGGTAACCCTTAACGCACAAGCTGTGGACATATTATACAGAACAGAACATGATTTTAAAATTTTGGCGGAATAAAAATTTCAATGTAAAAAGATTACCCAGGAACATAGGAAGGAGGCTCTTACTACCTCACAAATTGGTTCCAGGTGTCACTCTTCATAACCCCAGAAGGGTCTAGCAATTGTGTCATCTCGTGGCTAAGCTTAAAGTGTGCACTTTCAAAGCGCATGTTTCCACCCGGTGAAGTTTCCAAGATGAAACCAAAATCAATATGAACAAGCCTTCCAACGCTGCATTGTCAGGCATGTTGACATCAGTTTTAAATCAAGTATTGTATAATCTTATATGCTTCAATCCAAGTAATAGCATTTGGAGATGGCTTATCATTAAGGGGTTAGAAGATTAGTTTTGAGTTTGCCACGTTGTCATAGTACAGTGCTTACTAACTCATATATTGACAAAAAGAAAAACGTTATGGAAGAAAAAGAAAGGATAGATCAGATTCCTACTTGTCAAACAGAAGATTCCCATTGTGTCGATCCTTTGGTTGAAGTAAAAGGCTGGCAACGGCATAACCGGCACTGCTAATGATGAAGTTTTCACGTGCAGCTTCAAAGCTGGGAGAGCCAACAGGGCCATAGTCCTGTTGAAAAATCTCATACAAACCACCATCAGTGGTTTCACCCATCTGACTTCTGCTCCGGTATTAGGTACAACCTGCAAGACAATATATTGAGAAAACAACCAAATATGCACGTACTAATATGGTCAGAAACAAAAACAAAGAAAAAAAAACAAGGGATTTCTTTGCACTAAGTAGATTACAAAAGATTTTAAAAAATAAATAAGAAAAACATGTTGTATCCCATCAAGTCCCTCATACCCCTAAGGGCCCTTGGACATAATCAATGTAGTTCTGAAAATTTTACTTTGACGACTCATAAAACCTTTCATTTTGAATTGCTTTCTCCAAATACCGGAGTCCAAAACTATGCCAAAGAATTAGACAAAGACAGAAGTCAAATGTCACCCGAAGCTTCGGAGATGTACATTAAAGATTTGTCCATTCAGGGGATGCCTTGTCCCCTGAATTGCAGTTTTCTCTCCTGTATTTGTTAAAAGCTGTGGTCCTCATCAAAATCAAAATAAAAATGTAGCCTGAAGCTTGCCTAGCATGTAAGGTGCTGAGAAGAAATGTTAAATATGCTTATATGGTATCCTGGAGATTAAAGAATAAGATCTCAGCATAAGAACCAGCAAAGTAGCACATATGCAATGCATGCATGCATTTGCAGACACGTGCACATGCATGAACCTAGTAATTGGGTTGAAAGAGATTCAAACCTCAATAATTCCTCTCTCTGGGCCAGTTGGGAGTACACCATATGGAAATAAATAAAGATTAATTCCAACTGATTCAAATATGTCTCTAAGAAGGGAAATCACTTGAAGAGCAAGAACATCCTGGCGACAATCATCTCCAACCTTGAAGAAAAGGAGCTCAGTTAAGCCATGAATGAAGAAAAAATTCCTGGTGTCAAATTTTCATAGTAATAAATAAGAGATCACAACTTTCAAATCAGGAAAACTAAAGTTGTTTGCACCATGTACTTATTTATTCCATTATAATAATAAAAAAGTTAAAGAAAAGGTTAAAGAAAGGGCTGGGGAGCAGGTTGGTTGATTTTCATCAAGGGGTAATGAAAATGGATCTTCTGTGGACCATAGGTGGTTTGAACAAAATACCTTTTATGGGTCTAATCAATTTGAAATGTAAGTGGGTAAGCTTACCTTGAAAATACAAGCTTGAGGTTTTACATCATTATGGTCCCCACTCCGATCAATAACATTAAATGTTATCATTATAGGAACTTTTGCTGCAGATTGCAAGGGTATTCCACTATCTACCTGAATACCCCTGACAAGCTTGCTAGGGGCAGTTGGCAAATAGAGATCCTCTCCTTCAAGTTCAATTTTCTCCAACTCTCTGGTAAAGCACATTGCCTATTAGCTTCAACGGCATACACATAGATGCATACATAGAGACATAAATATATGCATGCATGTGCTTATGTGTATGCATGTTTTAAACTATCTACGTTTGCAAGCATCAAAAGCCCTTTTTTTTTAAGGAAACATCAACAGATTACAAGCATACCTCCGGATACCAGCTCGACGTTCTTCCTTCGGAAGTGGAAAGAGTACACCAGAAATAGATGTAACCTTGTCAAAGAAATCAAATTCTCTTCGAAACACGTCAAGTGCCTTGGGAGTGAAACCATCAATAATATGCTGTCTGACGAGAGGCAACAATTCTTGAAAGGAACTATTCTGAAATGACAGCATCAATAAATACAAGTTATTAAGCAACGAATGATCAAGAAACCCAGACTATGTGAATGCATGCATATATCTATTTTAATATAGTAGCTTTTGCAGTAGTGATACAACAATAATGCAAACATATCTAGTTCTACCCATATATGACCATGTATGGATACTGAATGGAAGTACAATCTTCTGGTGATGCAATAGGTGTTTGATAATGGACTAGGCAGTTTTCTTTTCTATCGGTTAAAAATGATAACACCACATAAGCAAACTAGTACACAAATTTCTTACGCCACAACTACACACACTGAACCTGACTTAAAATTATTGGGTGAGGCTTCCAACTAGATTATAAGCCCAGAATGAAAAAGTTTAATCTAAGTCATGACATTACCCAAAAACACATCTCAACAACATGTAAACAACAACACTTGCACTATTTGAATACCATAGAAAGTTATTAAAAGAAATAATACAAACCTTTTAATGAAAAATTTCAGCTTCTATAAGCAATAAAATTATCATTGCACATGTTTTTAAAATTCGCTTGCAGATACGTAGTATACAACAGCATGCAGCATACTGGTTAGCCTCTTATTTCATATATATTTCTAATATAACTTTATTTATCATGTATTGTATAGACTTAACAATGCAATGCTAAATTCGTTTTCAACACAATGCCAACCAACAGACTCAACGTTAGACATGAACGAATAAGCAGATATTAGTTATCAACTTTCTATATAAAATCAAAATGTATGGCATCCAAAAAAAAATTTGAAGAAACAAGGCCCGTCCCAATTCCCAGTTTCTAGTCAGACCTTGACAGGAACAGCATCTTTTCCTGATTCTGGAACAAACTCTCACCCTGCCATTTTTTAACACACAATCAAATTCTCAAAGATACGTGTGAGAGAGAGAGAGAGAGAGAGAGAGAGAGAATCTGGCTTCACCTGTAAGTGCCATATTAAAATATGGGCAAATATATCACTTCTTTGAGTTGCTCTAAGCAGATATCCTTCCACTAACCTCTGCAAAACAATTTAAGTAGAAATCAGATGCATTAAGAAATACTTGCAAAAGACAGAGTATGTGGAACAATGTTAAACGAGTTTGCAACTCCAGAAATATGGTCAAATTAAGGATCCTCAAATGAGTGCTACTATCCTCAAATATTCAATCAATCTGGATTACAGAACTGCAGTTGCACCAACTATCCCCAAATATTCATATAGAAACTAAATAGAGATAAATAGCATACGCATATAATTATTTATATATAAGTATGAAGAAACTTATAACTATAATTAAAAATAAAAAGATAATGTATAGATATGACCTCAACTCTGATTTCAATTTCTACTTTCAAATAATTTAATTTGTGTTTTGTATTTAATAATGCATATATTATTTTTGGAAAATATGTATGCATGAATAAACAAATTACATGCACGTTTTCACAGATGAGACTGATGGATGAGGAGGTTCTTTATTTATTTAAGTAGAAGTGCATACTGGAAGGATTTTTCATCAGAACCCTGGCCAGAATTTGGTCACACATTCTGACAATGTGTTCAACATACCATCACTAATAACAAAGTTTTTCTGCAATATAAGTTAGACATATATCAAGATATTCAACTTTGTGGATGGGAGATGCCAACACTTTATTGGACCCGTACTCATTTCACCCATTAGAAACTCCTCCAAATTTTATTTGAAATAACAGTTTTATTCATTTTCTGAAATCTAAAATATAAAATATGCAACAACCAGATTAAAGTTTTCAGAAATTTTGATATGTTTATTTAAAATAAACCAAACTTAGAAAAGAAAAAACTCAATCGGGACTAGTGAGGACCACTGAAGTTTCACCCCAATATGAAGTGAAAGTTATAGATATTATTCTTCAAACAATCAAAACGAATCCTATACTTGGGAGTTTTAGTAGGAGTTATAGTATGAGATTGAGAATTCAAGGATTCTAAAAACTTGATTGGGAATTTAACAAGAATGAAGAATGGGATACAATAAAGTAAAAACTGATCTTTAACTAATGCAATTCAATCCCATTCCTAATATAACACTGAATGAAAACAATGTAGCTAAAGGAATTAAGATTGACCAGTTCCATTAACTCACCTCTTCATCATATCGCAAAGCCTGCACTAGCTGTGGCATGAAGAAAGTTACTCGTTCAGGAGGATAAGACTCCAGAACCCTAAGAACATATGCCATGACACGAGGATGCCCCTTATATGCAGGAGTAAGGAACTCAAGAGCTTGTGTGATTGAGCAAGCAGCCCAGTGTGGCAACTGTTGCAAAAGCGCCGAGTTTTCATCAACTGCTTTTGGGGTAACAAAATATGGCAATGCTTCAGGAATGGATCGGATATCCAGTATATGTGACTGCGAAATAACCCAGTTCGATCAAGATGTATTAATGTATAAAGATCCCAGGAGTAACAAATGGTAATAAGGTTGATATCAACATAAAATTTATAACAAATTTACATTTCAATACTTTTAGAAAAGAAACAAGAACGCTTGCTAAAAATGAGGTATAAAGGCAAAGTTATTATAACTGGATATGGCCAACCTGCTGATTGTATTTAACCATTCAATTCAAAATACAGAGATTTTCTGGACTGTAAAACATTGGGCTGTAATAGTGGTTTCAACTAAATGGGGGTGTTTTGCTCCTTTTTACAAAGCTGTTTGAACGGCACGATGCAGGCATGCAGACACGTCTGTCTAATAGGAAACTTGTAAACATGTATATACATTATTACATATGCATAAACATAGCAACAGATTACTACTGCTAAAATATTGCAAAGTAACCCTTCCCCCTACAACTTAAGAAACACATTTATACACCCGTAGCAACAGATTATTAATACCAAAACACGTTAACAAGTGGCTAAGAGTTATAACAATATCCATGAGGATGCCGTTAGGTCATACACTGAATTTAAACCATAAACTACGAATTGCTCAGCTAATTAACAGTATTTTCTTGACAATTCATGGCATCCGCCGATCTGAAAAGATGCAAGCATGCTAATCATAGAGAAGTCTAACGTCCCACTTATAAACAAGATGACAACAAACTTCTCACATATCACAAGTGTTTAAGACACTCAAACAATTTTACTTGCTCATCTCGATAAGCCAAACCCAAACTTTACAATTCGTACTCTCCCTATTACAGACAGACATACCTGAACCAGCTGGGTTACTTCAGCCTTCAAGAATGTGTTTGTTGGGAACCGTGAGGCCAAGGATAAAGCAATTCGAGGATCCACAGCAAAGGCAGTCCTAGCATGCTCAACCCATTTCTCTGAACTAATTTTTTGCTTAGAAGAGGCACTCTCCCTGAGAGTAAGAGTAAAACACAATTCAAAAGAAATAAGTTAAAATTCACATGGAACCATGGGTATTGAGAAAAGGTTCTAACAACTTTACAATGTGATGAATATATATGTAAATAAAAATTACTTCGTATTAGTGGGTTGCGACCAAACTTCAAGCCTGTCAGCCTCATGCTGGCATAGCATCAAAAGTAACTGCTTCCGTTTTTCTCTTCCTGCAGCATAGTTCTCCATCTGACCCCAGACAGGGTGATAATGATCGTTCTGCAAGTAGTAAGTGACTTTATGGATATATTGCAAAAAACAAACCTTACGGTGTCCAGTAATAGGAAAACAAAAAACAAAATAAGAATGTGCATTAGACATCATCTTCATGCAGAAAAAACCATTGGAATGTACGCTGCAAACATGGTTATCTTACCACATCAACCAAAGTGGTCCCATTTTCTCGTCCCCTCCCTTTCAAATCAGATTGGACTGCTGCCTCTACTCGCTCATTCGAAAGGTAGTGGACAAATAAAGAGACAGATTGAGCTTCACTCTGGGAAAAATTCATATAGTTTGTGTCATACCATTCAGGCTCGTATGCAAACCAACCCAGAGAGGTCCTGTAGCATGCATCAAGAGAAACTTTCAACCAAATTGGGAACTGTACATGTATTCAACTTGAACAAAAATTATTCAAAACCTTACTGGCTTGACACCCTTTTATATGAGAAATTTCATATCATTATTTGGCAGAGAATATACCAAAAACTAAAGTATTAAAACTACGAACTCCATAAAATAGGGTATTTCCCATCCATTCTTGCAGCCAAATTTCCTAATAAAGACCAACAATATAAATTTCACAAACTCGGTGACTAAATTCACAGTCATAAAGCTCCAAAACTATAAAAATTAAAAATAAAAACAAGAAATCAACCACATAGAACTAAAATAACAAGTGCGACAACAAATTCTGCAACGAATAAAAATGAACAAAGTTGCAGTCATGTAGGACTGTGGCAGAGCAGTTCCAGAGCAGCGAGCATAGCATATAAAGAAATACAAGCTCCTACATCAACCTTCAATATATTGGCACACCTACGGATACTTAACAAGAACATATTACAACATGCTACATAACAGTACATATTACGCAAAGGAAAGTAACTCCACTACAAAACAAGTACACATTACAACATGCAAGCCAAGGTGCACTCATATGGTTGATGAAGTGCAAATAAATAATAATGCCCAATAAAATTGACAGTGAAAGACATAATTGCAGTAACCTATAAATCCGGTCTTCCAGTAACTGAAGCCCTGTTTTAAAGTTCTGCAAATTGCGCTGGGATTGGCACGAGCAGAACTTGAGCCCAAGAAGCATGACAGTGAAAAAAGTACCAGTAGCTGCAGGGTGGTGTGAAAAATTCCAGGGAAGCTTTGTCATCCCTTGTAACATTCGTCCAAGGAGCAAGAGTTGCTCAACACTGTTGTGTCGAACTACCTATACAGCCAATCAATATGAAGAAGAGAATATATAGGTCAGCACGCATAAACCAGTTAAGAACCACAAGTTGCAACATAAAATAAATGAGAACCATTTTCCTAAAATTAATTTCTTTTCTTTGAGGATGCATACTCCAACAGTTGAAAATCAAAAATAAATAAATAACAAAACATTAAAAACAAGAAGAATGACACATACACCCCATACACCATAGTTATAAATAGTTTCCTAGTATCAATGTCTTTTAGAGTTGTTAAAGTTGCCAATAAAGAGCAAATTTAATTCCCAAACACAGTAACACAAACTAACTAGGTGAATAGTTACTTCAAAATAGTTATTATTTACTCGTGCAGGCAATGAATACAATTCCTAACCTCAAAGCGATCAATGAAAAATCCAAGCCATAATCTATGAGCCATTATTTGCTCAACAGGATCAATTTCAGGCTCTGCTTCTGGCTCTCCAGGAGAAAGGTGAGGCCTTAATTTTGCAGCAGGCCCAGAATATTTCACATCCGAAGCAAAGATACCACGTTTTGTATCAATGGTCCATAACCATGCATCAACAAGCTCCGCAAGGACTAGAGATCCCATTCAGGCGCAGCAGACACTAACCAAGTCCAAACAAAAACACCAGTTTCCATTGCATCGGGCGTGGAAATGTAAGCAGGACACCAACAGAGAAGACGGAGAAGTTGGGAGAAGCCCTCTACATTTGATTTTGAATTAGAGCCCTGGAAAGCAAAAACCAAAAAAAAACTAACAAATCAGAGAAAGGAACATGACGCCTTAGGAATAAGCATGCAAGAATGAAGAGAAATAACATGACGCATTAAGAATTGAGCATGCAATAATGTAGAGAAATAACACATATTTACCAGATTTGACAGCAGTAAAGCAGTTGCCTGGGAACAAGTCTTGCGAAATTGAGACTTGTCCACTTCCACACCTTTCTCTGCAGCATTAACAAATTGCTGTAGTAAACGCACAAACTTTGTGAGCAATATCCCATTGAATTGATCATCCTCAGCTTGTGTCTGTTGAGGAAATGCTCCGGAGATCAACCTTTGAAGTCCAACACCAAGCCCAAACCCAGTTGGTGTGGTGCCAGATTGAAATCCACCAATGCTGTTATACAAGCTTCTCATGCCAGCAATTTCTCCTGCATGGTTGCACTTCACAGTTGCACTGACTATACCAGTACTGAGCACCTCCAAATTGAATGCTTCTGTTAATTTTAAGTTTGCTCCTGATGCTGCAGCTGCAGCAGCCATTACTGCGGGAATATTTGCTGTTTGTATGCCATTCCAGCAATCAGTTTTACCTGTGCCAATCCGTATCTCCGATAAAAGAGAAACCACATCAGTTGTATGCTGTGCTCTTTGCCATGTGTTTGCTTTACAAAGCTTTTCCTGCAGTATGCAAATAGAAGAAAGGAGCAATCAGACCCAAAAAAAAACCAACATGAAAAATTAGGTCTAGGAGATGTTTGGTAACCCAAAATTATGAGCAGAATTTTAAAAACTCGACACATAACAGATTTATGTTCATTTGAGAACATTCCAATGTTTAACATTTAAATTTTAGCTTGTTTGATACTGTCTAACAATTCAGCACATGACAAAAATTATTGAATATATTTAGTATAGCTGAATGCTGAAAAGAGTGATATCCAGCTCCTTCCATCCTTTGGCATCACACCAGAGCTTTCCTGGAATTAATCCAAGAGGTGTCTTGGACTCACTCCAATTAGTGCAACACAACCCCACAACCACCACTATCACCATACCATTGTTATCCTGACTATCACTCGTAACATTATATTTCTGGTTGTAATAGATAATAATTTAATTAAGAAAAATCTGGTGTTTGTTTGCTACCATCCTCAATCTGTGTACAAGTATCATATATACCTTTCCACATAAAGGATTACACTTTAAGCTTCTTGGGTTGTACATTAGGAAGTTATTATTCACCAAAATATATTAGTTCGTTTCTTTAAAAAATTATGTTGACTATATTCTCTATTTTTCCATTTTTAGAAGAAGCACACTTTTATTAAGAATAAGCACAACGTACAATGCAGTGGACCAATAAGTTTCAGGTTGAGTACATCCAGCACTTGTATTCAGCTCTTAAAAGTCAGTATGTAAAATTCAAAGATCAGTTTTCAGTACTTAATTTCTAGTTTCAACAAACAGCACCTAAAAGGATTTGTAGATACATTAACTTACGTTGCTGAACTACGCACGTACAAGTAGTATACAACAGTAATAAAGAAGGCATAACATCTTAAGAACAGAATATTCTAAAGCATGTACTTAAAGATACATTTGGATAAGATAGCAAACTGTTCACTACCCATATGTTCCAACCCTCAAAGCAAAACAATTGTCATTCAGAGGGGGTTCTCACTGATTAAAATGATATCATTTAGCAATATTGGACTGGCATACCACATGAATGCTCACGCATTTGACAATCAGAATATACTTATACTGACTTCATACATAGAAAGTATAGTAGTCAACCTGTAGGAGACCCTGGCTAGAGCAAGGAGCATATGAAAGTGATTTGATGATCCACTCTCGAACAATCTTTTGGTACAAAGAACGAACTGTCACCACCCAACCAGGATCATTGACAACAGTAGAAGAGGAATCATTATGAATTGAAAATAGCAGGGAATCAACACAAGATGAATTCCACAAGACCTGCATTCATGCCAATTGAGTTTTTTCAACTTTATTAGGCAAGTTCAATGACAATTAGAACTGGGAAACAATGAGATAAATGAGTAATTTTTCCAATACAATCCTACCTGTGGAAACCTATCTTTAAGCTGGCTCAGCAAGATCACAGCAACATCCCGAATGTGTTCCTCTCTATGTGACATACTTTTGATGAGAAAGCAAGCATGGGCAGAAAGAGTTGACTCCCTAACCTCAGCTTCATTTCCTGTTTCAGATATCCGATCTTCCTGAACCCAGATCAAAGCAGCAGTGATGTTGACATGGCAGGCACATGCACGCGGAATAGGAGCAGTAAAACAAACATTGTACTAGAAAAAAATTGTAAACTGCACTTCTAATAATTTACATTGTTATTTAAGTTGCTATTTATTTTGCATGAAAAATGCATCCAACAATATTAAATAATTCACATTCAGACAAGAAGAAATAAATATAAACTGAAGCTATCTCAACCAAGGACTTCAGTTTCGATCAGTACTCCAAAAGTAGAAAAATATACGACGACGGAAACGTGATATAAAACATATATATTACTGAAAGTTCTACAAACTTCAAAACCAACCAATTGCATCAATGTTGCGTATAAGCTTTGAAAAATAGTTTTGTTCTTAATCAAAATTTGCATTTAAGGTGGAAAAAAGTTGGCGTCATGCTCGGTGCTCCACTAATAAGACTCTGAATCTTAAATACAATATGTAAAATTTTCTCTGTTCCATTCCATGTTGTGTATGCTTTATAACAATATAGGAAACCTTGAGAATGCGAGATAAATTTTATTAATGAAAACAAGCAGAGACATGGCAGCTGCAACATCTGTTTTCGCAACATTTGAATTTCAAATCACAATTATGGAATATTGACTAGAAAATGCAAGGAACCCTAGGATTGAAATTGTACCGAAATTTTATCGAAATTTCCACTGAATGATCTCTAAAATCTCCCAATTTTATCAGATATTGTACCAAAATACCACAATTGTCAATATTACCAAAATATCTCTGCAATTTCGGAGAAATCCTGGAAAGATATTGCTCCCCCCCTCTCCATGTTACGGATATTTTGGTAATATCGAAGATATTTAAAACCTTGATCTCATAAACACATTCAATGCAACATGATGACTCTATAACATCCCCTGGATGATGAATGGCGTCTACATGAAAAGACCAACAAAAAAAAGGGCATATTTTCAGAAGTTTTATAAAAGAACAAAGCCATACCAGCCATGACACTGCTGTTTCAAAAGCCCTATGCACAGTTGCCATTAAACATTGGAAGACAGCAGGCACAAGATTTGGAGTTTTTAGGTATTCAAATACGCAACTGAATGCACTTCTAGAAGTAGCTAAACTAGTGCCACCATTGAGGATCCCACCATTGCTGCTGAATCGTATGATTTCCAAGAATGCTACAGCAAGAAGATAGGTAGCCTTCACACCTACAAAGCATTGGAAAGTAATGCTTTAATGCTTGTAGAAAGAGTGACTTCTAGCAAAGTCAAAGAAGCGTTTTCTTTCTTATATCAAAAGCAAAGATGAGATCTGTGGACAATTAATGAATACAGAGAATGTGTCTTTACTTCACCAGTAAGCACTAGTACGAATAATTAATAACCTGATATAGTGTTCATTGATGCAACGTCGACTCTCCCACCTAGAGCAGTAGAAAGAGCAGCTCTTTGGGTTACAGCAACTTTCTCATTCCCACTTCCTCGACGACTGTCAGGATTGTGAAGAGCATTGAGTTCCAACTCATCTTCAAGCCATTTCACCGAGCTAACAACCTGAAAGAGAGATATTATCATGTTAAAACTTCAGATACAAACAATCACTTTCAAGTGCATAAATATATGCAATCATCCTGAGTTGGCAAGAAGTTGAATTCAATAAAGCTGCGCAAACAAAAGTAGTAAACACTGGGGATAATCAGTCCCACCTGACACAGAATCCCCTGAAGCTATACCTGTCTAAGCATCATAAAGTATACATTCAAATTGAACAACAAACATGAGAAAGATGCAAGAAGAAATTTTTTATTTATTTTAGGTGGATTCACTGGTATATTGAAGGAGATATTTTCTTGATTTAGAGATGGAGACATAGATATCGATAGAGACTGAGTGACAGAGAGAGTGGCCAAGTCATGTCCTTGTGAGAAAATTCTGAGATAGTGTGTTGTCTGTGCCTCCTATATTGTAATCGTTCTTCTCAGAGCAACAAAAATTTAGTTTTATTATGTGGATTCTCTTTTACCTAAAAAATGGTTGTCCAAATACATTTGCTTCAGTTGTGTTGTGTGTAGTTGGAACCATTCAGAATATTAATTCATACATATGGCTATGGAGCGTCAAACATCTAACAACATGACATTGAAGATTCACTATCTTACATTATGTAGTGTACACTTCGTAGGTTTTTGTAACTCCAGAATAATAATTTAAAAAGAAAAACTTCAATTTGGGAACATATCCTCACCAAAGGAAGAAAAGAAAACATTTGAAGCAACTATATTCAGTATAGAAAATTTAAAAACCAAATTTTATTGCCAAAGAAAATTTCCATGTTAAGGAGACCACAGGGGCATACTCAATTTTAAATTACAGTACAAGTATCTACCCACAAAATGAGTTCCTGTTTACAACAGAACCAGAGCCAATTCCCATACAATGGATGTTGTCAGTGTGTGCGAGAGAAACACAGAGAAAGAGATAGACAGACAATCAGACAGAGATTATTACCATCCCAACAATATACAAAAATAAATCTAACATGTGAAAGTGCAGATAGCAAGTCCATAATTATTTTCACAGCACAAAATCAAAGCGAACCCTAATGACTGTATGAATTAACATCATGTAAAAGAGAATAAGGCAAGGATACTTAATAAAAATCTTACAAGTGGAGGAGTTCCTTGAGCAATTCGCTGAACAGCAGAAGACCACTGTGCATTCCACATGTATGGTCCACCCACAGCTTGAAGAGGAATTGTGCCCATGCTTCCCACACTATTCAGTGTAGTGGAAAATGGTTTTGCAGGGTGTTGAGTATTCTGTATGGGAGGTGCTAAGCCAAAAAGAGCAACATAGAACCACAAGTTGCGAAATAACTTTAGAAGTGAAGGCTCCACATCTACAGAAGGATCAAAATCAGAACATATTTCAGCTACAGCGGGAAGTAGTGGCCCCAAAAAATCTGCTCCACTCCTGCAATAGTTAGATATCAGATAAAAAATTTGAAACACAAAATGCAATGAGAAATGTTGATAAGTATCAGAAAACCAAAACCTCGTGCATAAGTGTTCATGAATTAAATGAAAGTTATATGAAAAACACAACGACATGCAATCAGAAGATATTATTTGAAAGAATTCTACCTTCCACTTTTGGATTCAGCAGCCAGCCCTACATCTGAGCATAAAGACAGCAGACGGTGACGATAGTCTGAACGCAATTTAGGATTCGTAAGACCACTAGCTATCAGAAGGAATCCTGCAGGAAGAGTCTAGAATGTGATTGAACCAGTGAGAATCCATTTCATAGATATCAAGTCAAGCAATCAACAGTATCATGTGTAATTCATATGCTAGACATTATACGGACCTCAACACGTTCTGTTGTGGCTTCCTGTGGCACAGTTTTGCTTTCAGCAGATCCTAAACTTGAAAGTTTACTTAAGTAACTCCTTGTCATTAGAACAACAGTCTCACGATAGGACTTCTCAAAACCTAAACTTGCCATGCGTGATACAGCATCAAGGAGCTGTAGTAAAGTAGAAGAAACAATTGAGAACCCATATAATTAATCAATAGCTAACTTCTTACTGCATCTTGATCAGTGTTAATCAAACCTACTTGGTAAAGATGTTTAAAGAAAAACCTAAATAAGAAAATCCATGCCATAAAGGCAAAGTTACCATACCCGGAGTCGCAATAAACTAGGACTTGAAGCATCACCCTCTTCTAAGCTTTCAATAAATAGAGGTAATATCATGTCCACGACTTCAGGCTTCTTAACGGCAACATTCAGATCGGCTAGCAAGCGTATAACATTAAGCTGCACAACAGGAACTGCCTCTTTGTCTTTATCTTCCTGAAATTAGCAAGATGATAAAAGAATGCAATGAGATTAAGTCAAGCTAGATACACAGGAAAAGTTGAGGGAAATCATTACTAAAAGGGCATCACGGTTTGGCATACTAAGAAAATGCAATGTGTCAATCTTTCGGATAGAACAGAAGGTTTTGTGATAAGCTAAACTCTTCCTCACAGAAAGTACAAACAAGAAAGGGAGAAACCATAATTTCATCAAAAAGTATATATTATAAGAAAAATTCTTACAGTTATTCTCACGAAAGCATGTTTGCACATAGCATATACGGATAAAAGTTAAAACAAAGACAAACGCTACAACTTCAGATGTATGTATATGTACAAGTGTGCATTATACAAGTAAATCTGTTATTTGTTAGTTAGTAACTGGTACAAAACAACCAACCTGTTCTTCATAGTCATTTCGTTCACGAATACTTGTAGCTAATCCCATTATGAATGTGTCAACTGGAGCTCGCTCCTTGGTCCAACAAGATTCAATTATCTCACAACTTGTCTTCATCACACTCTCAAACATCGCTCCCTGGCTGGTTGCCCAAGTATCAGCCTGTTAAAATCACATTGTAGAAAAAGCAAAAGTAAATAAAATAAACTTCCTACCACACTTTAGAACTGATATGCAAGTTTTAGCACCATAAAAAATGTGTACCTGTGTGCATACAGTTAACACAACGGGTTTGAGGCGGATGAGCAAAATACGCAGTGCCTGGCCACCACGCTTGACTGCAATCTGTGCGAGCCCAGATAGCAAAGAACTAAAGAGCTCTTCACAAACTCTCATCTTCCTCCACACAGAGAGCAAACAAGCTTCAGCAGCATCCATCAACAATGCCAGAGTCTCATGTGCCAACTTCTTGGCTGATTTCACATCAGTTTCATAGCAAGCAAGGCAACTAAGAATCAACTTGGCAGCAGCTTGATAAACTGACAGCTTCGTATTGATTCTGGCTTTTAAAAGCGCCCCATGTTCATTCCAATCCCGCTTTCTAATCTGCCCACATGTAACCAACAACACGAAAATCTCTTTCTTACATCTCCATTTTGCTCAAATAAACTCGATTTCTAGATTCTCACATAGACAACACTCTAAAGCAGTAGCTATTCATTTGCAACAACAATAAATTCAAAATGGTAACATTAAAAACCTTACCTTTAGAAACACTGACATAGACTGTAGTTGCCTCTTGGCAATAAACCTGACCTGCTCCAAAAGCGCAGAATCAATGCGGACTTTATCTAAAATATGAGCAACCAATTTAAAAGCAATCTCTTGCTTCTCCAAATTCTCCACAGACTCTTCCTCGAATGAAGAAACTTGCTGCTTAAGCATCACAGCTCCACCTCCTTCACTGAGACCAAAAGTCAGACCCAATTGATCAACACCACTCTTCCACACAATGCTGCTCCCATTCACCATCACCGACCCCCTCGATGATACACTACCTGATGAACCCGTCACATTACTCGCCTCGTTTCTGGGGCTGGAACTCTCATTGGCCTGGTAATGATTGCCATTCAAAGGCGAGCTCTGCGCCGACGAGGTCTCTGAGTTCGCGGCAATTCGTCTCGGTGTAACCGGGGACTGAACCATGGGACCGGAGGCCGCAAACTGATCCATAAACATTGTAATCAACTTCTCTGCATCCGATGGCAAAATTGGAGGGAAATTTTCTGACAGAGCCATGAGAAAAGCCCTGGAAATCCCTGAATCTTCGCCACCATTGCTAATCGCTGTAACCACAACCTCCCCAGTGAACCCAGTGATCTCTGTAGCAAAATCCGACGACAATTCGGTGGCTTTACAGACATACCCCAAGAAATCGGAGAAGAAAGAAGCGATCGAGTCATTTCCAAACGATTGGGGCCAAAATGACCGATTGAACGAAGCGGGAACCGAGCGAAGGAACTCGAGAACCACAGATTTTGGGCGGGGATCGGCGGAATCGGGACATTTGGAGATGAAGCGAGACACGGCGAGCACGGCATTGAGCTGAGACCGCGAAACCCTAGGCGATCCACACAGAAGAAACTCCGGAGGTGGACACCGGCCACAAATCCACGAGAGCTTCTCGGCGAATTGGGTCGGGTGCTCCGCAATCAGGTCGCAGAGCTCCGTCAAAGCCTCCATTGCGATCGAATCCGAGAGAAAAAAATTCGAAAATCCAAAAGAATTTCAAAATACCACAGAATTCCAATTCCGCATAAAAAATGCCAAAAAAATGCTCCTCAGGGTTTCCGCCGCGGAGCTGGATTGGAAGCTTCCATGTCCGTACAATGCGAGGGAGAGGATGAGGAAATTAGGGTTTTTTCAGAAGCAAACAACATTTCTTGTAGTGCCCTTGTTGTATATGGTGGTGGTGGTTGTTTTCATTCTTTGTAAAAGAGGAGAGGGAGAGTGTCCGGGTTCTGGCAATGTCCGCTTTTGTTTCCGTTTTTGGGCAATTGTGCTTCCTGTGTTTTTGCTTTCTGTTTTTTCTGTGATTTCTTTTTTATTATTTTTTTTCTTTTCCTTTTTTCTGATTCTGTGTTTGGTTTCTTTTGCAACACGAGCGAGTTGACCCGGTGAGTCACAGCAAGGCACGTGACGTTGACATTATATTATAGTAATTTACGGTTTCCTCCTCCACCCCTTGGTTATGTAACTAAGGTAGTAGAAGGGCAGTTTTGGTTACTTAAATGATGACATTGCTTATGTTGACTTTGACTTTTGATTTAGAGACCTCGATTGATTTATATGATGGGCCACTGCTTCAAATTGTATTTAATGGGTTAATTGAGACGTTACCTGCTCCAACCCATGCACAATAATTTTTTTGTTTTTGAATACCTAACCTATGTGCAATAATATATCAACGGCAAAACGAAGGGCCCAACTTCGAATAGTTCGAGTGGAATCCGGTTCGATTCGATTTGATTCGGTATAAATATGTATCGTTAACTAAACCAAGTATCAATTCTTTTAGTTTGTTTTGATTTTCTGAGATTTTCTATTTAGATTGGTCGGTTTCCCTTTTTTCTCAGGCAAAATTTTAGTTCTTATTATTGTTTTTGTTTTCATCCCGAAAATTAATTAGCCAAAGAACTCAGGTTATTGGATTACGACCTTTCATATTTCTATTTCTACTTAATCCAAATCAACCTAATAATGTTCTAAATTCCGATAAGAGGGTCACATCACATGTGTAGTAAACCAATAATTTTGTATTAAATAATGATATTCAATTCGGTTATATTTACCTATAAGTTGGGCATTTCCAAAATTTTCAATTCAAATAGGATCATTATTTTTGTCAAATTTTGAAAGGAGGGAGGAGAGGTGTCATAAGATCATTATTTTTGTCAAAGTATAATAAATAGATATATTTTCAAACCAAACCAGATCGTTGATATGACTGGTACTCGGTTTTTTCAACTCAAATAACCACTTTATTTTTTTTTTTTTTTTTTTTTGTTGTCAACAAAGAACCCACTTCTAATTCACTTCAACTGCTCAAGCCTGCAGGCAGGTAACAAGTGATGTCGTATATTGTAAACATCGTATCTTGTCTCCTTCTCTGTATCTGTCACTGTCACTTCTTTATTTAATAAAAGCTGTTTTTATCTTTTTCTTTATTTGACTAAATTAATCGAAACATAGTAAAATGTAATGAAATAGGTATCCATGGGCACACAAAATAAGATCTAAGCATTAGTAATTAAAAGAGAAATTGTTTTAGCTGGGTGGACTACAGTCCCATATGGAAACAAATAAAGATTAACAACTGTTTCGTACATGTTCTCTTAAGAACGGAAGTCACTTACTTATCTTCTCATTCCAATATTGAAAGAGGTCTAAATTTCAATCTTTTTATTATTTAGTTTTTTGAAAAGAAGAAGTAAAACTACTTTAAGAGTAAGAACATCCTGGAGAAAATAATCTTCGAGGACTCCGGCCTTAAAGAAAGGGAGGGAGCTCAGTTAATCCATGAATGCAACAACAACAACACAAATTAACTACCCCATGTTATGTATACGTACTTATATTTTTCTCTTGTTATAGTGAAGGTGGGCAGTCTCCCGAACACTTAGCTAGGCATATTACTAAATTTGTTGGCTTCACTCAATCATCATCTTGACTACACTTTTTTTAATTTTATCTTTTCATCGGTAATTTTATCTTTTCATCGGTTTGAAGATTGGCAAAAGTTTAGGGAGATGGGAGGCTACCCCGTCCCATTATCAAGACATACCAAGGTCTCTTTGAGGACCTACAGAGAGGGTCTTAGCCCCCTTTTTGGTCTTTTCATCTGTTTTGTTTGGAGTGATTAGGGGAATTAATTTCCCAACATGTTTTGCGAGTATCCTTTGCTCATCTCCCACATGTATTTTACGAATTTTTTTCCAAAATAAAGAGTGATAGAGGTGACAATCCGTAATTCCGATACCTCTCCTCATCTGCCTGTCGTAGAATGTTGACAAATATTTAATTGTCGCAGGAAAAAATATTAATCCAAATAGACTTTAATGGCGTTCCAATGCCTAAATAAATGATCAGTCCTTTGCATATATAACTCGAGCAATTAATAAGATCTAACTTTTTATTCTTTTCTAGAGACTTCTCACAACAGTTGCGTTCTTTCACAAAGATTGGAGTGCGGGCCTCTAGGAACCAAAAAAAATGTTTTCAGAAAACTAAGATCCGGATAAATTCATCATCAAGTTTGATTGCTTTTTCACACGCAGGTCTAGTATTCAATACTCAATCCGAGAAAGAACTAAATTTAAAAGAAACAAATTGCACTAATAAGTTGCATAGATCACCAAATTTGTAACAAGATAGCAACCTTGACCAAGATTTAAAACAAAAGAAAACAAGCACTCGGAACTACTATTGAAACAAGAGTTCGACTCTCACCCTTTCGAATTTGATCGGTAGAAAGGTCCATTGGGAACGAGTTGTTTACACAGCTCAAGATAGGTGAGGAAAAGAACTCGATCCTTGGCGCCGGTTCGATGATTTTTGGTGTGCTTACAGAAATACTTCAACTGCTCAAGCGTGCAGCAACCAAGCATCTGCCCTAGCAGCAAAAACAGCCAGTTGATGGCCTTCTTCTTCTCCGCTATGATCGGTTTCCCGCTGCTCTCTTCTTGACAATGCATGCACCTAGGAAGAACCGGCGTCGTCCATGAACGCGGTGCCCTATCACGCAGCGTGTCCTTATTCCCAGCAACAAAACTCCCAACCTCAGCAAACTTCTCCTCCAGATCGTACTCCACAACGAATGACTTTTCACATCGCTTGCACTGCACGTCACCAGTGATAGTACGGATACCCCTTGACAACAAGTACTCAAGAGTGTGCACTGTAGCCCGCCTGGTGGTTGCCCATGGAAAAGGGGCCGGGACAGTCTTACTCTTTCCCTCCCGAGGAACCTGAGTAGGGTTTCGTCGGGTACGAATTGGGCGAGATGTAGAAGGCCCCCGGCCCGGCTCTTGAGAATAAACCAAGGGCATGGAGGAGGGGATGAGGAAAGGTGGTTGTTGTGTAGTCATGTAAAGAGGGTGTGAGGGTGAGAGTTGGAGAGGTTGGGGTGGAGGGTTTTGGGCCGTGAGGGTTTGCATGAACAATGACGGAATCCGTGAAGACGGTGGTGGCGGTGGATCTACCGGGGTCGGACTTCGTCGAGGCCTTGATGGACGGTAAGGATTGAGAGAGAGAACGAGCATGTCATCTTCGTCATCTTCGGAGAGCATTCGTTGGTAAAGATCTTGGTTGTTGTTCTTTCTCTTGTTGTTGATTTCTTGGTCGTTGTTATTCATCTGAATTAGGGTTTGATGGGGAAGAGAGAAAGAGTAGTTGAAAGCAAGAAGGTAAAGTAAAAACAACTAAAACTGTGAAATGGGGGTTTGAACGAAGACAGGATGAAATTTAGAGATTTGGAGATAAGAGATAAGACGAAACAGATTCTTATATATAGGAGGAAGGAATTGGGATTGGGTTAGAAGTCTAATTTAAATTTTGAAAGAAAAAGACTATTCAAATTCTTACTAGTATTTTGTTAGGCTTATACAAACGATATTTTACTTTAATCTAATCTAAACTATCGAGAGAGGTTTCAAACTTGAGTCCCTCTAACCAACTTGGGTTATCTCATGTTTGCTTTAAATTTAAGTAATCTTTTGGACCAAGCGTGTGTCCTTGGAAGAGTTATTTTAGACGAAAATCACTTAGTTTTGTTCACTAAACTTATCTCATATCTCCAACATATTAGATAATAGCCTTTCATTTATTAGAAGAGGTCAAAATTTTATTGCAAAAACTAGGCAATTCCTCTAATAAAAACATCAGATGTGGTGGAGTTCCAAAAATAATAGCCTTTATTTTGATGACCTAAGATGTGGTGGAGTTCCAAAGTTTATCTAAAATAAGGTAGTGGCATTTGTATGTAGACAAGCTTGGTCTTAGTGACGACCCAAAATTAAGTCCTAATTCTTTTTCAAATCCTATGAATCGTGGACCTAATTGGTCATGAGCATGAATGGCACAGTGTTAGACTTGTATTATGTCTATTTTGAACATGAAAACTTATTGATTAAGTTTGACTAATTTTTCTTCAATTTTCTCGTGAGATATGATGTTAGCCAAAATGTTCCCACCCCAAATTGAACGTCAGCCAATATGACATATAAGGAGACAATTGATTAAGAAAAAATTATATGGTACTTGACACATTGTAAAAGTATCTTGTATATTCTGGCAAAAAAAAAGGTATCTTATACATAGCAGTGAAGCAAGTAGTTTGTCTTTGGGGCCAATAGCCTTATATTTCAACTGATATTGCAGCAGGTGTACGAGTTATTGACTTTTTCATGGAGTTTGGGGGGCCATGGTCACTGCAGGCCTGTATTTTTCACATATTTTAACTTGTCTTCGAGTACCCTATATTTTTCTTTGAATAAACCTTAATCGGGATAGTCTTCTCAAAACAACCATCATCCCAAAACTGCAAGAAACTGTCAAAATCACCCCAAATAAATAAATAAATAACTAATTAAAATTGTAAAAAGTTTTCAATTTTAACAAGTATGCAACAAAACATTTTGGCTGTAAAATCATTACATGCCCCGAATGTTGTATTACAATAATGTTACATACCAAAACAAAAAAATTTGGCTACGTATGACATAGACATTTGACCCTTGAAGTGGGACATTCTCTGTGTTTTTTTTTCCCGCGTTGCTCAATATAACACTAGAACAGTGAGAATTTGATGCCTCGTGGAACTCTTTCTTAGGGCACACATGTAACCCAATTCATCAGTTTAAGACATACGTGTTAAAATTTCATCAAGGCCAATTTTAGGACATTTGGGTTCTGCATTATATCATGAGTCCCTTTCTTTGTTGGTACATCTATCAAAGCCCTAGAGATTATCCCGCCATCTTTTTTTTCTTTTTTTTTCTTTTTTATTTGCCCAAGTTACTGTCCTTGGAAGAGTTATTTGAGGAGGAAATCACTTAATTTTGTTGGTTAAACTTATCTCTTATCTCTGATATATTATATAATAGCCTTCATTTATTAGAAGAGGTCAAAATTTTATTGCAAAATTAGGCAATTCTCTAAAGAGCATTCACAATAATTGTTCAACGGTTTAGTTAACATTTTTTTATGAAGAATTAGAAGTTGAGATTAAATGAGAACACATCAAAGCACCTCTTTTCGGGTTATCGTACAAAGTAATATTGTCTATGTATCAATAAGAGAGAGGTTGTATAGTTATCATGGTGGGTCAGCTTATTGAAATGAACTATTGATACCTGAAATGAAATATTGATCTCTGAATTGAACTGAACTTTACCACTGCAAATAAAAAATTCAATTTATTAAAATAAAATTGGATTGATCCTCATCATCGTAGATACTCTAATAAAACATTTGAAATTAATCAAATCAGGAAGCAGATTTCCTAAAATAATAGCATTTATTTTGATGACCTAAAGATGTGGTGGAGTTCCGAAGTTTGTCTAAAATAAGGTAGTGGCTTTTGAATGTAGACAAGCTTGGTCCTAGTGACGTCCCAAATTTTAGTCCTAATTCTTTTCCAAATCCTATTACTCGTGGACCTAATTGGTCATGATCATTAATGACACAGTGTTCGAAAGATGCATCCTGGTTTTCAATCCTGCTTAGACTTGTATTATGTGTATTTTGAACATGAAAACGTATTGATTAAGTTTGACTAATTTTTCTTCAATTTTCTCTTGAGATATGATGTTAAGACTAATAAACCATGCATAAAAAGTTCCCACAACAAATTGAACGTCAGCCAATATGACATTTCGACGAAATAATCTGGTATTTTGACATGTTGTAAAAGTATACTGTAAATATCTTATCGTTTATTAAAACAAAACAAAACAAAATTAAGGTACAATAAGAAGATCGAGATGGATGCATTAATTTAACCTTTCAAATCTCATTCCTTCCAAACTCAGAAAAAGAAGAAGAATTCATGGAAAAGTAATACAAAAAATCCATCTTCGGTTTATAACAATTGTTTCCGTAAAATATCAAAGGGTCTTGGTCTCATAAACCAACTTAAAATAACCAAAGCACACTAATTAACATAAGATGGTCGAGATAGTTTTGGTTGGAACTTGTCATTTTGCTCATGCGAAAATAGATTTGGTTGGAACGAATATTCTAGATAGTTTGGTTTTTGTATCACATATGATTTAGACCATCTTTATTGCATTTCTACCCTCTTAGAAGGTCAGTTTGGATTCATATATAGGTCATCAGCTTTTGGATTCATATATAGGTCATCAGATCTCCCCGAAGCTGTGAAGCCTTCGATGGTGTTGATGGGGCTGGGATGTGAAGCTGTTCGAAGAGAGAGGAGGAGGAGGAGGAGGGGGGGTGGTTTGGAAAAGAGAGATGGAGGGATCAGACACAAAAAAGAAACAATTTTGTAGCATTACTTTTATTTTTTTCACATTTATTCCTTCGATTCACCAACCTACTTTGGAGAGAGAGAGAGTAACAAGTTTGTTTTGTTCAGACAGAGAGAGAGAGAAGAAAAGGCAAAACAAAATGGTGATAGAGAAAAAGAGAAGTGCTGAGTGTAAGAGAGAGAAAATTAACCAATTTTTTTTATTAGTTTTAATTATTAGAATATTTAATTATACCTTTATCTATGGGGAGGTGGGTTTCACTTGCCACACCACCCCTTAATTGGTAGATAATGATCCATGTGTATGAAATTATAAAAAGCCACATCATCATAGTTAATAGACTTTTGGACGGAGTTGACGACATGGGCAAAGTGGGTCACCAAATAACGGTTAAGTAGGGTAAATGGACCACTTTAAGTTTAGAGGGCAATGTGAGATTTGACCGTAATTTCAAAGGGCATTGGTGTAAATAAGTCATTCCAATATCCGTTTCCAATCACGTTTCAATGAAAGCCACAGAGATGGGTCTTTCAAGAAATGAGATATTGATCTAAAATCCTTTTGTTTAGATGACTCTGCTCAGAAATTGGAGGAAATGTGATGAAAAGGGTTGGACGACAATTATGCAAGTGTTCACAGCCAAACATCTTCCTCACCGTCCTCTGTGCCCGCTCACTTTTCTCTTGAATAAGCATAAGGACTAGTACAAAAGCGAAGAGAAAACGACCAGTTGGCTAAAGTTGCTATTTTTAATTTTAAGTATTTTCAATTTCCGTTTTGTTTGTTTTGAAGTTTCAACAATAAATTTTAATTTTTGTTTTTGCATGCAATTTTTAATTATGAACTTATTTATTTTATGAATAAGTGGTTTTTTATTTATTCAATAAGTTATGTATTTTATTTGTTAAATGTATTGAAAGAACTGTGGCTTTTCTTCTTCCTTAGCAATTCTTGAACAATCTTGTTCTCCTGGACCCTAGGGTCCATAGGAAGTTTTGACCACTCACCCTTGGATATAATCTAAGGGTTGAGAAAAAACTTATTTAAATATCAATATGTCATTATTTATTATTTTTATTGTGCAAAATATTAATTTAACTTAAACAAAAACAAAAAATGTAAAAAGAAAAAATCACTCCAACCAAAAGACTCTCTCTCTCTCAGAGAAAACCAAGAACATGTTCTCCATCCATTGTTGTTCACAACTACCTTCAACTCCAGCATTGCGACGAAAATCAAGAATACGTGTTGTTTAAGATTCACTCTAATTCTTATTTGTTATCTATTTCATCTCTTGATTTAGATTCGAATATTCAATTTTTCAAAAACAAAAGAAAATTTATTGACCTAATCCAGAGCTATCAAGCCATCCCTTCACACTTTAACGTGATTAGATTTCAAGGAAGTCATTTTTCTATTGTTCTCTGCCTTTGTGATCAATTTTTTGTTTATGAATGTTAGATTTGAATGATTCATGAACCAAGTTTGGGAAAACTTCAATTTTTTATAAAAAAAATTTGGGCCCTTTTTATTTATTTATATTTTTTTCCGATTCATGAACCCAGACTTGGGTTTCTGCAACTACATTGTATTTTCATCTATGATATTAAACTCCTTTTAAAAAAAAAGTTTTAATAACAAAAATAATATTTTACTGCAATAAAAGTAAAATAAAAGATGATATATTTAAACCTATTTTTTTTTTTTTTTTTTTTTTTTTTCTCAATCCTTAGATTAGATCCAAGGATAGGTAACCACAACTTCCTTGAATTCAAGGAGAACATAACTGAATTCTTGAAACCAGAAGCAGTACTTTTATTATATTGATACACCCACCCACCCAACCTCTAGTACATTTTCCCGAACAGCACTTCCACCAATTTGCCATGGCAAATGACAAAAGTAAGTAAGGACAGTTACTGTTCACATGAATTTATCTGTCATATCAATTTTTTTTGCACTTTTCCACCCATTGCCATGACAACTCAAGAGCAATTACTATTCACATGGGATTTTATGTATGAGGTTAATAAATAAAAATTTGCTAGGTATGTATTTAAAAAAAATTCTGAAATTTTAAAATAATTTTTAAGAATTTTTTTAAAAAATTTCGCTAATGTCAGTGCCCCTCAGACAGCAGCTCGGGCTATCTTGCCTTGGGCCTTGCTAGCTCTTGCCCGGGTTGGATGTCACCGCCGGAGCAGATTTTGGGAGACCAGGGGAGGCTTTTGCCTGGGCTGGGCTCTTGGAATCCATTCATCCAAAAGAATCCTCTCCGAACCCAATATCTTCCTTTCCCTAGTCCCTCATGCGCCCTCAATTGGTCGTCTGCTGTCGGCGGTCAGGTATTGTTCTGTAGCAGCGACATCGTCTATCAGGTACCGTTCTCGCCTCTGGTACTGAGTCATTAAATCTTTAGTTCCAGATCGATATCGTACCGCAATTGGGTACGCTTGATCCAAATCGAAATTCCTATGGGGGGTGAGCAAATTAGGCAACTATGCTGCTAACTTATCTTTTCTTATTCTGGGTGTGGTAATGTTTACTTCTGTGTTACCCAAATATAGGCCCAGCTGCATATACGACCAGTGTGTTAAGAGCTTCCGAATTTACTTTCCAATTTGTCATAGTTTTTGTTTTGTTTAGGGTTTAAGTTCTTACTGTTGCACCTTTTAATTTAGTTTTTTTATTATTCAAAAATGAGTTTGTTGTTGAGTTCTAGTTAAATTTCATCAGGCTCTGCCCTGAAGCAGACTAGAGGGCCATGGTGAGGAAGAGGCCAAACATATTGGTGGCGGGCACACCAGGAACGGGGAAGACAACAACATCGTCCGCCTTAGCAGAGGCAACACAGCTCCACCACATCAACGTCGGTGATTTGGTGAAGGCCAAGAATCTCCATGATGGGTGGGATGATGAGCTAGACTGTTACATCATCAATGAAGACCTGGTATGCGATGAGCTTGAGGAAACCATGGAAGAAGGAGGGAACATCGTGGACTACCATGGTTGCGATTTCTTCCCTGAGAGATGGTTTGATCTTGTGGTTGTGCTCCAAACTGACAATACCGTCTTGTATGACCGCTTGACTCGAAGGTAATTTTCTTCATCACTGCCTCTTTTCTAGTGCTGCTTCCGTGGGAATTGGAAAGGAAAACCTATGTTTATGGCCTTGTGGGTTTTTTTTTATTATTGTGGCAGAGGATATTTGAAGTCAAAGCTCTCCAACAATATTGAATGTGAAATATTTCAGACTTTGCTAGAGGAGGCAAAAGATAGCTACCCAGAAGACATCGTGCTTCCCTTAAAGAGTGATAACATCCAAGACGTTTAGAACAATCTTTCTACTTTGGCAGAATGGGTCAGGAGGTGGCAACCATCAACTTAGTTTTTGGTTGAGGGTGCTTGTTGGTTGGTTGGATCAAGCTTTTGAGATGGATTTTTCATGTGCTATTACTACGACATATTTGTATTCTCTCTCGTATCAGTTTTACCATTATGTTATGTCTCTCTCTTGAATTGCGATTGTTCATTGAAGGGGTTTGATGAAATGAATTTTGTAATGAGGGGCATTCATAGTGACTAGAAAGTTGGTATGATCAAAGATGCAGCCTGCAAATTGGCTTGAGTTTTGGTCCCGTTGGACTTTAGAAGAAGACCATCATTTCGTCTCAAGATGCCTTCAATGGCAGCATGCTTTTGCTGCTACCCTTGAGACCTGCAACATTGAAGGAAAAAAAATAAATTTAAGGCCCGTTTGCTAACTGTTTAGTTTTTATTTTTTTAAGTATAGAGGAAAGAGGAATAATGGAAGTGTGAAAGATGGAATTGATGAGTCATGCATAAAATTTGTCAATATTTCATTGAAACTGGTACAAAAAGCTTGTTCGTGTTCTGAAATACATAACTAACGCAATAGGTTGTCTTATGTCTATTTTTTCTCAAATCAAGAGAGCAAACTTTTGGTCAGACCCGAAGATTTCAATGAAACTGGGATATTTTGCTACCTCTGCCAATAACGCTAGGATAATGTGATAACATTTTCACGTCACATTATATTATCGGCCGGGATAGCAAAACAGTCCATTCCCCCTGCAACTATCTTTTTTCTCCGAACGAAGAGGGAAAATCGAAACTGCTGATTCACAGTCACATCAAGCAAAAACAAATATGCTGAGAAGAAGAGTCACATCGCTTCTCTCCACCACCATTCGCAGCTCCTCAATTCGCACTAAACCTACTCTCTCACCCTCACCAATCTCATTCCAATCACTCCATTTCCTTCAATGCCCAAACCCTAACCCTAGCATTAGCAATGCCGAAGGGTTTGGCTTTCAGCCTCAGGGAATGAGAGCGTACAGTCTGCTGAGCTTGAACGATCTGAGAGGCAAGGTGCCCAGGAAGTAGAAGACGAGGAAAGGCCGTGGGATTGGGTCTGGTAAAGGCAAGACTGCTGGTCGAGGCCACAAGGGTCAGAAGGCTAGAGGCTCCGGGAAGTTGGGTTTGAAGGTGGGCAGACGCCACTGCGACGTCGTTTGCCCAAGCGTGGGTTTAAGAACCCCTTTAGCCTCACTTTTCAGGTACCCTTTCTTTTTCATTGTGTGTAATATGTATTGCTCTTTGTTTGGTTGCTCTGAAAATGGTGGGATATGAAGGAAATGGAAAAATGGAGCGGTTATGTTGTTTATGGTGTTTTGCTTGCTGCTAGATGTATGGCACTGAAGATATGCTTTATGCATGAGTTTGAGCACAATTGGTCCCTTTTTATTAGAATAATTGAATAGTTAGTTTGTTTCATGCCTTTTAGACTTGGTGTATGCACAAAGAGGTTGATCAATTAACTTATTCCTGTTATATTTGTTTTATATGTCAATTCAGGTTGATATATTTAGCAGATATATGTTTGGGATCATCAATCATGTACTCTGTAAGATGGCCAAAGTGCTCTGGTTGTGTTTTCGTGTGTCGACACACACATCGTAAATGGTAGAAGCCTTCAGTAAGTAATGAAATACTGAATTTATGCAAGCCCTGAGCTATGACCACCAGGGTTTTATGTTAACTGTGTGAATATGCCTCTTTTGATAGATAATAAGGGAAGTAGCTTCCGAAGGTGCAATGTTAGTCGGCACTGAAATAAAGTTTGCTGCTATGGCTATCAGATTTATCATTTCCTTTTACTTGAATTTGAATCTATTGAAAGCCTTTTATGTTTCTGGAGGATTGAATTGTATCACCTTTATTTCCATTCATTTTCTGATATTTTATACATGTCTTTGTGGCAGCCAGTAGGATTAGGAAAAATTGCCAAACTTATAAACGCAGGAAAGATTGATTCGTCTGAGTTGATTACAATGAAAACACTTAAGGTGCAGTAAATTCCTTCTCAGACTATTGAACCAATTCCTGCATCAACTTTGTTTCAATCTGGAAATTACTGTTACAATAGGATACAGGGGCAATAAGGAAGCAGATTAAAGATGGAGTCCGATTGATGGGACGTGGTGCTGAACAGATCCAGTGGCCGATTCATTTTGAGGTACATGTTCATCTAGGCTTTCTACATGATATGGACTTGTATATTATCTTTCTTTTGTTGGGCGGTGTTGTGGGCCATGTGAACAGTTCAAACATTACTTTCATAAAGCAGAACCATGTTATGACTGGAAAATGTTGATTAATCATGTTCATTAGTGCCAAGTTTTGTGATGGCCTGAAATGTTTTCACTAAGTAATTTATTTCATATAAACATCTTTGGATGAAAGTTACTCAAGTAATTTTGGTCTTAGATTTCTTAAACTAGTTTGCAGATAAATTTTAATTTGAGTAGGTCAGACTTTTGTTGGTTTTTTTTCACCTTAATTCTTTTGTATGTTGGTTTGTCATGTAATCTCCAAGACTTTGATAGTGACATTGACTTGAGTGTAACCTTGTGCACTTGATATCATTGTTGCCACTTACATGCAAATCATGCGAGCTTCCTCTTTTCCTTGCATGCAACTCAAAAATGGACTTACAAATGGGGTTTGCAGGTATCGCGTGTCACTGTGAGGGCAAAGGAAGCCATTGAAGCTGCAGGTGGGTCTGTCAGAAGAGTATATTACAACAAGTTGGGCTTTCGAGCATTGCTGAAGCCTGAGTGGTTTGAAAAGAAAGGCAGGTTATTGCCAAAGGCAGCGAGACCTCCCCCAAAACAGAAGGACAAAGTCGATAGCATTGGCCGCTTGCCTACCCCAACCAAACCTATTCTTTTTTTTACTGAAGAGGAGGTGGCCTCCAGTTCATCCACTTGACAAAAAGGGAGCAAAATCAGTTCTTTTTAGGATATTTGTACTTTTACAACGAGTTCCTTCACCTGTTTTGGATGAACTGTTCTCTTTCATAAGAAACAGTAATTTTGTTACAAGTCAAAATGATCTGGAGGGATAAATGGAATGAGTAAAGCTTTTCATGTTGCCTCAGGCTCAGGATCAGCATATTTCAGACTTCTGCACTTTCTAGTTCCCTAGAAAATGAACTTGATCATCAGATGCTTTGACCTGGTTTAACAATTGTACTTGAAGCAAGTATCTCACTTTTACCTTGGACGACGGAATAACAAAAGCTTTGTTATGTCAAAAGCCAACAGGCTTCTGTAAATCAGAAACTCCGCATCGTAGACGAAGGAATGGTCATCTCACTTTTACCTGGATTGTGGCTTTGTTGTCTTTGTGTTTCTAGTTTGCGCCTTTTTACTAGTTTCAGTTTTGTTGTACCATAAATCCCCCGGTAGAAGCTTTTCTTAACGTACTTCATACTGCGATTGCCTAGCTCAAATATTGGGTTCAGCAAATCTTTTACCGTTGCTGAAGGTTAAGGAGGATAAATCTTGCGTGCAATTCATTTTTCACATTGAATCTCTTGCATGACTAGCATGGAACCAGCCTTTACTAGAATTTCTCTAGCATCAAGTCTCTTCCTCTTTTAAATTAAAGCAATTCTCTTTCGAAACCTTGTGCCTTGGTTGAATTTGAATTTCTGTTGTGATGCTCTCACCTTGGAAACTCAATGAGATCCTGCAATGGGCAGATCATAGTTCTCCTGGAGTAGGGTTTACGTCTTCCGTCTATCTAACTTGCCTCAGTCCAAGCGCACCAAACAGAATTCAACCTGCAACTCCACCTCACTTTAACCAGCTTACTACAATAGGAAAAAGGACGCATTTCTAGTTACTTTAAGTTATTAGTTACTTCTTTTTAGTTTCCGATTCTAATTAGGAATTGATTTACTTTCCTGATTTTGGTTTAATTTTACTTTAAATCACGGCTCTGCTCATGTCAGATAGAGCGAGGAAGGAGCAATGGCAGAGGACGCGATTCTAGGATACCCTGAGAAAAACGATCAAATATCAGACTCAAACTAAATTAATAATCTAAATTATTATAAATTAATCTAATCTATGGGGAAGGGGACTCAAACTTAGGCGTAAGGGGGTGTGCACGTTGCCCTGACCAACTGACTTAACCCATGTATGGCCAACTGGCTTAACCCACAACTCGAGTTAAAACTTACAATATAAGTAATTAACATATACATTTCGCTTGTTTCTAAAGGTGCTCTTAGGCTTTTCATTGACTCAGTCTTATTGAGGAAATAATGAAAGTTTTTAATTTGTATTTTAGGTGGATAAGTTATATTTTGATGAAAAATATCATTTTAAAGCTTATCGCATGATGAGACGTAAGATATCATAACGAAAGTTTATGATAAAATGCAATAACAGGAATCAAATGATTAAGGATTGACTTGAAAAAAAGAACCTTCATACAATTTAGGGCAAAGTACAAGAAAAGCCCTATAGTTTATTTATAGGTTCTTTGAACTTTATTTCATAGGAGTTCTCCCAATTGAAATTTGTTTTACATTCTCCAGATTGCCAAAGGAAAAAGGAAAAGAAAAAACGTATAAAAAAGTTGCTAAAAAAAGGGAAGAAGGCCTTGGACATAACAGCCCTCCCAGCCCTCTTCTTCTTTTCTGAATTTCTTCTGCGTTCTAAATTCTTCTCTTCTTCTTCTTCAATTCTAATTTCTAGAAAAATCTTAACCCTATATTTTGGTCTACAATAGCTTTCATTAGCCACACACGGGCAAGGGAAAAAAGAGAGAACCATCTTACAGCGGATACCAGCTGCAAAAAAGTATCAGCTTCAGTTCTAAATAATTGAATCGGCTCCTTTATAATTAGGTAAATTTCAATTTCATGAGTTTAATTTCAGCCCTTTTGTTTGATTCTTTTGATCTTTGAATTAATTATTGTCATAGCTCATAAGCACATCGATGCCAAATTGATCTGGGTTTTAATATCTGAAAAAATCCCCCTTTTTCTTTATTTTGCTTCTCTTTATAATTTTTGTTGTTGAAATTTTGTGAATTCTGATTGGTATTTCTATGTTACCGCTGTGGAATGTTTTTGCCTAGAATTTAATTTCTATATCGAGCGGTTTGATTATTTTAATGTAATGTATATGGTATAAAGGTATATAAGAGTATATTAGAGAATTTGTATGAAATTCTAGTTCATGAAAATTCAAATTGGAAATGAAAAAAAAAAAGAAAACAAAGAAAAAAAAAAGACAATATTATGTTTTGTTCATTGTGTTGGTTCACCATACCGAATGAATATAAAGATATGGGTATCCTGGATTTTTATTTCAGTTATATGCATTTATGCAACTTTTTACCTTCCCTCAATTGTTCACATTTTCCTAACGTTTCATCACTAATTTTCACCAGCCAATACGAGCCGCAAAATGGACAACATTGTAGATTCTCTAAACAATGCATACCAAGAGTTCGTTGTTGCAGCAGCTAATGTGCTTGAAGCCAAGGAAACTTCTGGCGCCCAGAAAACAGCAGCTACAGATGCTGCTCTTGAGAATTTTAAGCAGAAGTGGGAACTTTTCAGAGTCACTTGTGATCAAGCGGAGGAGTTTGTGGAGTCTGTGAAGCAAAGGATTGGCTCAGAGTGCCTGGTGGATGAGGCAACTGGCTTGGTGGCTGGGAAGTCTGGGCAAACCGCAACTGGTCTTCCACCCATTAGTGCAGTTCGGTTGGAACAGATGAGTAAAGCTGTTCGATGGCTTGTCATAGAACTTCAAAATGGTTCTGGAACTGCTGCTGGTTCAGCACATTCTCATCTGTCAACTCCTTTTGATAGCAGATTCTCTGAGGATTCAGCTCAATAGGTATGAAGGTTCTTCTAAGCTCTTATTGAGAATTTTGTAAATGCATTTTTTTGCTAAGAAAACATCTGGTACCCCTTCCAAATGATTTTGAATGCAAGCTTAAGGGAGTTGTGATTTCCTTATTGTTATGAGCTTGGGTTGTGTCCCCTTTGGCATTTATAATGAACTTATTTATGGAAAGGGTTGGGGAAACACAAAATTGATTGTTGAAAGAGATGCATCTCGGATGTGCAAACCTTGAGCTCACTTCAAGTAGATGCCACACTTTTTAATGTATGGCTGGTTGCTACGACAATCTATTTCTATATTTACACAATCTTATAATTAATGTTTCTATATATAATCTGTTGTATGTGTGTTTTAAATTTCTTTCATCAAAGGTATGTGTCGTGTGTGCGTTTTAGGACAGGAATTTGAACATTTTCACATATGTGTTGGTTTTAAATTTTTTATGATCATGAACTTAATTATTTTCAAAAAAATAATCATGAACTTAATCAGTTCAAACCTCATGTATACTTTAATTGTTCTTTCAATCACTTTGCTTTGTCATATATACATACGAAAATGATTGGGGAATTCAGATACTTCCAAAACTTGGTTAAAAGTAAATGCGAAGGCCTATATTCATGCCATACATTTCGCTAAAAAAATGTTCGTTCTTATTAAGTGGTTTTTCCTGGAAGATATGATCTTTACCTGCTATTATTTAGCCCCATATTTGTGCTACCACGTTTAGTTCAGTTCTACTCCAGAGAAGAAGGTGTTGTATTGTGGTTTTTTAGTTTTGGGCAATTTAGAGTACAAGAGAACTGATATATTTAAGTTGTGGCAGAGGATCGTAAGGTCTGTGGGCGCGGGCTATCAACAACAATGAAAAGATTGTTAGATATTAAATCAAACAGAGGAAAGCAGGGTAATAGGCCCTGTGTTTGGGTGATATGGAATGCATAGAATGCAGTCATACAAGGTTCCACGACCAGATTTGTCTGCTTTCCATTCAGTCGATATGGTTTTTCTCGGAGAGCTGCCACAGTTGGGCAAAGAGTTGTAGTTTTAGCGGAAGAGACACACTTGTGTTTGTAATTTACCCTCGCATTTCACTTAATCTTCCCTAATGTATTGTTAGAACTAGAGTTGAGTTTTTCTAGCAGACTTTGAACAGCTGGACAAGAGCTAAGAGCTTTGTCGATCAGACAAACTAATGGTCGATTACGGTTGTTTTTCTTTTTGTGATTTACTCCTCTGTGTAATTTATTCTTGCCTGATGTATTTATAAGAAATGCTGGAAAGTAAGCTCATTGTTGCCCAACTTTCTTCCTTGGCATTAACCAAATTTGATCCCCCTAGTGAATCAACTTCCACATGCAATGGCAAAAAACAAGCAGCAACTGCAAAATCCAGCCCCAATTTGAGAAGCTAAAAGTTGTGTATCTAGCAGTGAAGCATTGCTAATGTTGTGCGTTGCAAAGGCTCCTATTACTTTTCCATAACATCCAACTAATAAAGCAGAAATGTTCCAATTCAAGATCAGATAAAGCACTTCAAGATTGTTCAAATAAATCAACAATACTTTTTATATCTTCCGGCTACCAACCAACCACACCATGAAGCATTGACGCCCTCCACACCTCCCTAGCTAGCATGGCTACTGATTTCCGTATCCCGTTAATGCATTCCATGTGCTTCCAATATTTTTAATTTTAAACAATATATATTTTCTCTTTTTAACTTACAATGATTATTTCATTTTATTACATTAGCTCGTACTCAAAACGTCGTCGTATGGGAACTCTCCACTACATTCACTTTTGTCTCGACATTCCATCTGCAAATAGTGTGCGTTCTTCTTTGTCCCTCACACGGAGTGAGAATTCCCTCTCACTCTGTCTCTTCTCAAGCAGATATTTTAAAATTTTCTCTTTCGAAATCCTCTGAAGCACAATTAACCTGAACCGAAAAAAAGCAGGAATTTACGTGAACTCAATTGCAGCGACCAGAAACTCAAGTACAAGTGTGAAAGAAGACAAATCGCAAGTATACATCACAACCCAGAAACCACAAATCGTTGCTCGAATCCAGTACACAATTTATTTTCAAGGGTTAGTTTAAGGCTCACTTCAGCTTTGATATATTGGATGAAGCTTGGGCAAAACAGGGAAAGAGTTAGTTCATACACAGAGAGACTGGTGGTTTGGCTTTGCTGCTCTGTTTCTCTCACTCCAATATTCGCCAATTTCTTTCTGGTAAGTGAGATTAGTTTCGGATGATTTCTTGATTCTCTGATTGAATTTATTGCTACCCTTTTAATATTTGGGTTATTGAATTGTTGGGTTTCAATCGAATTTTTCTTTTCTTTTTCAGAATGATGGATTTGAGGATTGATATGCAGCGGGCTTCCTTTGCTCAAGTAAGTGCATAAGTTTCTTCTTCTGTGATGTTTGCGTAGTGGGTATCTTTTGCTTTGGACTGAAACTTTATTGTACCGATACGCCAAAAATTGGGGGTATGCCCGTATCAGATACAGCCCCGATACGGGGATGTTGACTTTACGATACGGCTCCGATACTCCATCGATACGGTCATGATACGCTCGCGATACGGTCTCTATACGTCAAGGGACAATTTTGACGGCAACCAAAAAAGAAGAAGAAGAAGGAGGAAGAAGGAAGAATGAAGAAGAAAAGAACTTACTTGCGCTTGCAGCTGCTGCGATTTTTCAGTTGCTGTGCGAAGAAGAGGCGGCTAATTAGTGAAGAAGATGATGTTAGGTGCCCTAATTACAATACGCACCGTTTTAGTTGCATGTTAGATGGCTAATGTTAAAAAAAATTGTTTTATACAATTTTAAGTCTGATGCATTCATTTGGGACCAGCCCAATAACTGAAACAAGTCATATATGGCTTATAAAAACATAACGAACCAAAAGAAAAGGCCCAAAATGCTAATTTTACATATATATGTTTATATATTTATATTATTTTAATTACCGTATCGGTGCAGTACCTATATCCTACTTTTTGGAGATTTGCTGTATCGGTGTATTGTATCGGATATCGGTGTATTGTATCGTATCGGAGTACCTGTATCCGTATCGGTGCAACTAGGGACTGATACATATCTTGTGCTCTTTAATTTCCAGCGCAAATTACCCGTTAGAAGTCTACTCCTTTTACATTGTAATTAGATTGCTGGATGGTTGTTCATTTGGTGTTTCCTGGTTGGAGGTTGAGGCTTTGCTCTAGATGATTTTAGCTCACAAAAGAGAAATTAGTCTATATGTTTCAATTTATTTTGGAAGCATAATCAATCTAACTAAAATGGTCATGTAGGCAAACAATAGGATAGTCACTGTAAAAGATTGGTGTGATCATAAAAAATGGTATTGACAAGCTTTTAAATGTGCTTATTGACCTACTAATTAGTTCAACTTTGTGTTCTGTTTTAAATTCAGATATTTTTTGTTGTCCATATAAGAAAGGGTCTATTTCTTATTGTCTTCTACATAGTTGAAGCACCTTCATATGGCATAATGAAGTAGAAGAATATGGTTGAATTTGATCTGTACATTATAGCGAGGTTGTTCTTGAAAATTGGCATGGGGAAAGTCAGAAACCTTGAGTTTGTTTTCTACCTCACCAAATAATTTGACAAAAGAATAAAGTAGTGCAAAGAAGGCTTCTTTGAAGCTTTATTCTTTGGATGATGGCTTTGTGTAATTGATGTTGTTTCTCTGTTCATGTAATCGGAAATGAGTTTTAATGTAGGTAATGAACTTTTAAGATAAATTATGAGCCTGAAAAGATTGCAAGCTTTTTGAGAGGGTAATGGATTGTGAATTATTGGGCCATTTATTGCAATATCAGAAAAGCCATGTATTTGGATGATTATGGCTGATCGATATTCATTCATTTCATATGCTACTTACTTTGATATTAAAGTCAATGTTGATCCTGCGTTGTGGCTGCTGCAGATTGGCAATCTCGGGCTTCTGCTCCTATGGCATATTCTACACCTTTTTGTCAGCATATGGTACTTTCTATTGGGTTTAGCTTATGTGCTTCAAAGCTATCTTATTTCTGGTGGAGTACTCAAGAGCTACAAAGCCCTTAATTTGGCCAAGCTACGGTACCTGGCAATTGTGATAGAAAGTGAAGAAGCTTACCAAACATTAAAAGTAATTGAGCTGCTGCAGTGGCTAGAAGCTATTGGTGTGAAGCGTGTGTGCCTCTACGATACAGAAGGTAATGGTGGTTTGCTATCCTGATTGATGTCAGACACTTTCTACTATTGGTATGCAACAATGTAACATATGTATTTAAATCTTGTATAATTATTTGACTTTTCTGATGTCCAGGAGTGTTGAAGAAATCAAAAGAAGCCATCTTGAATAAACTGAAAAACGCAAGCGAATTTAAGGTGTTGTCTTCTGTCCCTACAGTAAAGTTACTTTCTGGTTCCACAATTCTCCACCGTAAATTAACTAATTAGCATACTGGGAAGCAGTTCAGGCTGTCACGATCAATCCTCCATTCTAGTTGTATCTAGAATTCAGGATTGTGTTGAGACCAACAGAGTTTTCTTTTTATACCAATACCAAGCAATTGCCTTTAATTTTTGTTTTATATTTTTAATATGACTCCTATATAAAGCATACATTGGTAGTCCACCACTAGATTACTGACGTAGGGCGAGTGAGGGTTAAGTTTATGCAAAGTAGTATTTTTTTTCTTTAATTATATAGATCTGATAAATGATTTGTGCCTTTCACAATGGACAGTTATGCATTATTGATGATGCCAAAGTGTATACCTAACTTAACATCCATGCTGTGCAGGCTTATGAAGATTTAGTCGATCAAAACCGCATGTCTCTGGAATTTTCTTCATTTTCTGATGGAAAAGAAGCTGTAACCAAAGCAGCTAACTTACTTTTTGTGAAGTATTTGAAGTTGGCCAAATCAGTTGGAGATCATGAAGAGAAAATCTTTACAGAACCTGATATGGATGAGGCACTAAAAGCTATTAGTATGTTTTACTGTCAGATGCTCAATTGTCTACAATAATGGTTACCTGCACAATTCAATTTGACCTTACAGGTGTTTATGGTAATATGCTTTCAGGTTGTAGAGGGCCAGACCCTGACCTCCTATTGGTTTACGGACCTGCAAGATGCCACCTTGGTTTCCCTGCATGGAGAATTCGATATACTGAGATTGTGTGAGTGTTCTTCGACAGATGTGTGATGCAGTTAGCTGCATATATTCCTATATATGTCTACTTGATGTCTAGTGAAACTTAAACCACAAAGCCATGGTGCTGGGAAAGATGGAGTAACCAATCTAACCGTAAAAATAGGCCAGAACAGGAAAAAAAAATTGTTAGTTTTGAGCCAGCTGATTTGTGTATAATACATACATATATACATGTGTTTGTGTGTGTATACATTTATCTCCTTTGTCTCCTGCAGATTTTTTTTTCTGCAGTACATTTTCAGGGAACTTTTGCAACAGAAGCTTCTCCTTGATGTATTGTGTTTGTACCGATTTTGTTTCTGAACTGATTGTGTCCCATATTTTGCTTTACAGACATATGGGACATTTGAAGTCTATGAGATTTGGTTCCCTAATTAAAGCCATCTACAGGTTCACCACTGTGCGCCAGAACCATGGTAAGTGATGTTCCTCTTCATTTGTCTAATTGTCATCTCTTGTAATAGTTTGAGAATGAATTAGTGATTTCATAAGATCCCTAACAAGTTTGCAATGGTGTGCTTAAAACTGTTTATTGGTTAAAATTTGAATTTATTGTACTATTTGTATAACTTGGTAACCATTTTCAATTTAAAATAGTTGTATGGTTTTAATTTTCATCATCGAGCCGTACGTAGAAACTGAAGATTAGTAGAATTTGGTTTGAATATTATGTATTGTTCTTGTTCCAACAGGTAAATGACACAGCAATTGGAAGTTCATAGCTTGGATAAATGATGGCTTATACAAAGAGTTCTCAAAGTCCAAGTCTGCTTATCATCTTCCTTGTACCCTAATTACGTAAACAATAATCTTGCTTATGTACAAGACATCCGTTATGTTATAAGTTATAACCAGTAATCTTCACCCAACTGCACATCTCTTATTGATTTTCAATTAAATGGCAAGGATAACCAAAAAAACAAAAGTGGGAAATTAAATGGCAACATTTCATTTTCATAGATGAATAAAAGTCAAAACGTGTTAATCTGAACATGTTCATTTTCAACTTTTATTATTTCTTACGGTAGTTGGGTGTCGGTGCCAACCACAAATCTAGACGATATGCATATCATTCATGTCAAATCTCATTATTTTTGAAAATATTTAAATAAAGGGTTTTAAAAAAAAGAAAGTAAATTGCAGCTATAATCCTTTAATTAATTCAGTTCTTGAATTCTGTGAACCAAGAGGATATTTGTACTGATTGGTAATTTCAAATGCAGGGTACCTAGATTTTGAGAGTTTTTTTTCCTTGTTTTTTTTTTGGAGGACAAACAGGCAGGAGTCCAATGACAGGGGACTACAGGCAAATAAAACATCAAAAGTGAACATAGCTTGTGGATACAGATTGGAAAGAAAGAGACGCTGCTTCAAGAAGCCTTAAGTTGTCACAAACCAACCAACATCAGTCTAACCATTTTGGGGCGGTGGGCATGGTAGGCCATCCTTGTTTAGAATGCCTGTCAGAGAGGATGGGGGTCGGTCAACCCAGACAAAAGAGAGCATCCTTGAGGAAGATATATTGGCCAAGTGTTACTTGAGAGATTATTCGTGTTACTTATTTATTTGTTAGTAATTAAATTATAGGTGTAGATATATTATAGGACATAGCTTGGTTTTTGTACTTGTTTCATTATTTAATATTTCCTCATCCCAATTCCATATAGTGTAGTAAACAACTTCAATGGAAATTCATGATCTAACTCTCCTCAATCCATATGATTTAGTAAACAACTTCAATAGGAATCCAGAATCTAATTCTTCTCAATCCAACTCCTCCTCAATTCATTTTATCATAAATTCAGTTCTTCCTAATCCAATTACGGGTTAGGAAACATACCAAAAATGTATATGGCAACACAATTGTAAGGGAGCGTTGAATCAAAATTCTAGAAAACATATATCTTTAGTCTAAGAAATATGAATAGGAGGCACCTAAATCTAAATGCCCCATTTTTTTACAAGAAAAGGAACACCTTATTATTAAGGAAAAAGAAATTAATTTCACAATCTTTTACATGGTTATATATTAAAACTAAAAAAGAGATGTTATAAGGCACATGCATATTTGTGTATTTTTTTCCCAAGCAAGAAAAAATATATTACTTAAAATAACATTAATGGTAGTTACCTATCACAATCTTCTTCCTACCAAAAAAGAAACCAATCTCACAAGCTATTACATGGTTATCTATTAACATGAACGGTAGTTAAACATCACAATCTTCTAACCAAAAAAGAAAACCTTATCATCTTTTTATTGCCGTGGATATCCATCTCATCTGCCATATAAGGTGGTATGAAAATGTGAGATAAAAATATGATAAGTGTAGCATTACCAATAATTTGGATTAACCAACTTTTGAGGGTTGTTTCAAATTAGTACCAAATCTTTAAAATTTTGTACGTAGGTATTTTAACTCACGAAAAACATACAAATTAGTTAATCCATTACTTACATCGTTCTATCTAATTTAGCACGACCCTTAAAATTTGGATACTTTTATGTAGTTCACCCATAATTTTCAATAGAGGATGTGATTACCTCGACAAATACAAAAGATCAACCAATGGTAAGGGGGCCCATAGACGAGGAATGCCTTTTATGTGGGGGCCCAACAGAATCTACAATCCATATCCTCCGTGACTTGCTTGGCGTAGTCCGATATCAAGCAACCGCGGGTGGAATGGGACAATGATGCTTATTCACCCAAGGATTGGGTGTTGGGATGTGCAAATTCACTCAGTTATCATGACTTGGGAATGGGAAACACGTAATGGATGGCTACAGGAGGATTAGGCCTGACCAAGTCGGCTTGAGTGCATCTTTGTGGCTACAGGATTTTTTGCGGGTTAATGATTTCTTAAGGTCACATTAGTGGGCATAGTCAAGCAGAACAAAAGTGGCAGCCACCAACCTCATGTTAATACTCCCAAAATCAATGTGGATGGTGCTTGGAAGCCAGGGACCACAGAGAGGGTGGCGTTGGGGTGGTTGTGAGAGACTCAAGCGGTAAATTTGTGGGGGGTTGTGTGGTTAAAATGGATAATGTATTCTCATGGAAAGGGGTTTTTAAAATGTTAGTCTTCGAAAGTGATGGTGACATGGTCACTAGAGAAGGTTTTACCCAGATTCGTTGTAGTGACAATTCAAATTTTATCTTATTTATGATTCGTAATCAAGGAACTGTCCTTTGTCCTTGATATGAACTCAGACTTGTTGTACTAGTTGTTTTACATTAATAATATTTTATCACTTATCATGAAAAAAAAGGGAAATTTGCATAAATCCCACCTGAACTTTTAGGTATGCGCGCCATTACCACTTGAACTTTTAATTTTAATTTTTAACCACCTGAACTTTATAAAGTATTGCAATCCATCACCTATGTCTAACGCCATTAAAGTTTCTATTAAATGCAAGGGTATTTCAGTCAATTCACCGCACTTAAGGAAAATTATATTTAAAAAAAACTAAATTTTAAAAAGAAAAAGAAATAAAAATATCAATCACCAACAATAATGAGGAGTTAGATTACTTGTGAAATTAAAATCCCAATTGAATATACCCCTCTAAATTAGAAGAAATATGAGATTTTGGTAGGTTATAAAACACAAAAAGATTTAGGCCTTAGTTTTCACATGATTTTCTTAGTTCTTGGAAGATTTGAAAAAAGTAGAGCTATGGTTTTCATAGATCTTGGGAAATAAAAAAAAGTGAGGCAAATTCTTCATATGGTTTTCATGGATCTTGGAAAGAAAAAAAACCAACGCCAATTCGTCTCCCCCTCCCCCCACCCAACGTTGTGCATACACCATCAATATCATTCAAAAGGCTAAAACAAGCCAAACAAAATACGTAACAGATAACCATAAAAGCATCCGATACACATCAAAACACCTCAAGCATCAACACCTCGACTAGACCAGTAGGGAAAAAAGCACTCTTCCCAGCCTATGAAGATGCTTGAGGGCACAATAGAAAAAAACTAGGGGGACCAACAAGGCCATCAATAGAAAGAACTTGGAACAGTGAGGGAGGGGGTTGATACACCATCAATTCCATTTCACCCTCGAATTGGCCATTGATGCTAATATGTGCTCAACTCTATTCTGCATACACCCTGCTTTGCCATTACATGCCTTTACATTCGTGATAGTTAGGTTAACTTGTTAACTTTATTTTTTCATTTTTTAAAATTATGTTGTTTTAAAATTATTTTTAATTATAGTGACAGAGGCAAATGTTCTTACATTTAAAGGAAATTTTAACAGAATTAGACGTAGGTGGTGGATTGCAACACTCTACAAAGTTTAGGTGGTTAAAAATTTAAATTAAAAATTCAGGTGGCAATGGTGCACATATCTCAAAGGTTTAGGTGGTATTTAAATTTCCAAAAAAAAAAAAAAAAAAAAAAAAAAAAAAAAAAAAAAAAAAAGAAAGATACATATATGTAATTGTTTTCCCAATAACATGAATGATGGTTAGGTCTCAATATCAATTATTGTTATATGTCCTTTGTGAGCTATTAATGAGAATATTCTGATTATTGCTTTTGAAACAACAAATTTTTTTACGAAGGGAAGGCACATTATAAAATCCTTTCGAATAAAAATATATAAAATATATTTTCTCCATTGCATAGAGATATTTAATTATATTGTAAATGGATTTATCCGTACGCCGGGGTTGGTGTTCTTTTGGGATACAAATTCTGGTTTCTATTAGTAGGGCCAATCCAGGATTGGATATGGAGGATATGGATTTATCCAAATAAATGAGGGACTCAAATGGTAAAACTTTCTCGAGGGGTTAACTTATCCAAGCGGGTCATAAGAAGTAAATACATTTTATCTTTACATGGCAGCCACCTCATGCTAACAATCTCAAAATCAATTATTATTATAGGTCCTTGTTGAGCTATTAATGAGAATAAAGAAGTCCACTTTTCCAATAGAGAAGGAGAGTGATTCCTCTATTGCTTTTGAAGGAACACATAAGAAAATCCTTTCGAATAAAAATATATAAAATTTATTTTCTCCATTACATAGAAAACATTTATACTAAAATAAAAAAGAAGAGTATTTAAATCCTACTAGTAATATTAAAAATCCCTAGTAAACCCTAGTGGGCTGGACTGTAAATCCTAGTTGACTTGACTTTTGTTTTCGTCACCATCGCCTTGCTTGCTCTGCTTGAGCACGGCATTCGCTTTTTTCCACCTGTGATATTTACCAAACAGCACCTCTATGTCTTCAAGGGTTCTTCCCCTGGTTTCGGGGAGCAACATATAAAAGAAGACCCAACTCACCGCAGCAATCCCCGCGTAGAGAAAGAAGGACCCACCAATCGTAATGGCCTTGTATAGTGAGAGAAAAGTCATGGATATGACGCCACTTGTTATCCTGTTGACGGCCACTCCCATACTAACCCCTTGCGCGCGTAGCTTCAGCGGGAAGATCTCAGAGCTATAAACCCATGTTATGGGCCCCAACCCAATCGAGAAGAACGCAACGTTCAATAACACCATGGTGATGCACAATGCGATGGCCCACGGGACCGTGCCGCGGTGATGATCGATGATCGTGAGGCCCACCCCGAGGCACGCGAGTGAAAATATCATCCCAGCCACGCTGGACAAAAGCAACCGGCGCCGCCCGAACCGATCAAGGAAAAACGTGGCCACCAAGATGGCAATGGTCTTGACAAATCCAACGGCCACGGTTGCAAGGAGCTTGTGGTCGTAAGATTTGATCCCCGCCTTCTCGAAGATCCTGGGGCTGTACAGGACGACAGAGTCTATGCCCGAAGCTTGTTCGAAGAAGTGGATGCCGAGGGCTGCGATCAAAATATGGCGAACGGCTGGCGTTGGGTGCAAGATCAAGTCTTTCCATACGCCTTCACCACGGCTTTTCTTCGTGACGGGAACAACGTCGCCGTCTAGGTCTTTGGCGATGCCTGCGGCTTCTTTGATGTCGTCTAGCCTCAACTGAGCCTCTTCCTTGGAGGCTGAGGTTTTGTTGAGGACGCGCTTGGCGTCCCCAAGTCGGCCCTGCATGACAAGCCAACGCGGCGACTCTGGCATGGCTAAGACGCCGACGGCGAGAATAATGGCGGGAAGGGCGCCGATGCCGAGCATGAACCTCCAAGCGAGGTGAGCTGGGAGCTTGGAGAAGGCGTAGTTGGAGACGTACCCCAATAATATGCCAATATTGACGAACACCTGTACATATTTATCCAAATAAATCAAATAAATTAGTATAAATTCCACACCTATAAACCACAGAAAGTCATAAAACACTTGCCAAAAAAACTCATACAACCCGTTCACCTAATCTCTTTAATAAATCCTACGTTGTCAAAAGTTGTTTCCAATCACCTCCACATCCACATCCACATCCACATCCAAAAGTAGAAAATCAAAATCAAACAAAGGGTATATGGTGGGGAGAACTGGATAAACATCATCACAGGTATCAAAAGCTGTTTCACATGATGTCTCCAAAAGTGCTTCCCAGATTGTGTGACGTGATGATATCACAAGTGAGGAAACAAACACTTCCTACTTTTGTTTCACATGAAACCAGCTTAGTTTTGTTTCGGTTTCAAAAACAAAAACAGAAGGTAAATAAACAAATAAGGAAAGAAAACAAACCTCAGGGAAAGATGTGAGGAAGCCACGGGACAAAGTCGGAGCGATCTCGGCTGTGTAGACCGGAGAGATCATGAGACCGTAGCCAACACCGATTCCAGCAACGAACCGGCCGAACATAAGGAAGGCGTAGCCCGGGGCGACTCCCATGAGGATAGCTCCGACGAAGAAGATGGCTCCGGAGAGGACGACGGTGTACCGGCGCCCGATCCAATCGGAGGTTCTGCCGGCCAAGGCGGAGCCGATGAGAGAGTAGATGTTCAATGTGCCGGTAAGTATTTGAATCTGGACGTCGTTGATTTTGAGGTCATCTTGGATGAAGAGGTTCGCCCCACTCATCACACCAATATCTATAAACAAAAGTGACCACACTCAGATCATACACTCCAAAACCAACAATTTTTTTCTTGCAGAATTAAGATTAAAAAAAGTAAGAGAAAACGATTTCGAATGCTAATAGGATAGTTACCATAGCCCAGTAAAATTGATGTCATGCAAGCCAAAATGGAGCAGGCAATGGCGAATTTGTTTCTCTTGGGTTTCTGTGGCGGATCAAAGTCTGCTATTACTGTGTTCTTGGGTTGGCCGGAGATGGCCTTGTCTTCAGCTATCGGGTCAGCCATCTCGATCTAGACAGAGGTAGGGAGAGATAGGTAGAGAGAAAGAGAGAGAGAAGTAACAGAGAGTGAGCAGCGACAGGGAGAGAGTGAGAGAGGAATAGAATATAATTCATTCAATATATAAGCAAACTCTTTCTTAAAGTTGTATTAATTATTGTAAAGGAATTTATCCGTATGTCAGGGTTGGTGTTCATTTGGGATACGAATACCTGGATTGGATATGGACGATAAGGATTTATCCAAAAATAAATTCAAATAAATGCGGGACTCAAATGGTAAAACGTTATCGAGGGGTTAACGTATCCAAGCGGATCATAAGAAGTAAATACATTATCTTTACATGGTAAGAGTTATTACGCTCCTAATTAATTTCTTTGACTAATACCTAATAGAAATTGTTATTTTGAGAGAAATAATATGTTCCCTTCTTAAACTTGTAATGTCATCAATCAATCATCACACAAGCTGGTATTTTGACAACTTTCTTTCCACCTTAAAAAAAAAAAAAAAAAAAAAAAAAAAAAAAAAAAAAAAAAAAGTTTTATATATATAAAAAGCTGTTTGATTTTTGTTTTTCCAAAGAAAACATATGTCGCTAATAGAACCTTCAGTCCTTGCATAATTTTCTTTTCACTATATTAAAAAAAAAAACGTAGGTTTGTTTATATATAAAAAAGTATGCTTTTCGTTTTTCCAAAGGATACAGACTGTAATAATAAATTGTTGTCCTAGCATAGCATGGACTTCTTTTGTAACTTAGAAAAAAATTCTCATTGAATAAAAGAAAAACACCTTTATAAAAAAATTAAAAAAAAAAAACTGACATTTTTTCTTATTTATTTATTTTTAAAAAAGAAAATAAGTTAGTAAAAAAAAAAAAAAAAAAAAAAAAAAAAAAAAAAAACTATACATTTAATAAGGATAAACTTGGAAAACAAAATTTAGCTTATGTAATGTATTTATGACATTATTTTAAGTGTATGGAAAGTGACACATGTCATGAATAAAAAGGAGAAGATCCAAAGGAGAAGATTAGAGAGAATGTTGCTAGCATTCCCCATTTTGAGCTTATCTTATAGATTGATATTGAGGTATTCGAGATGCAAAAACTTGCATTGGACATGGAGAAGATTATTGAGAAAATCTCGGATTTTGGGTATGTGGTATGGTGGTAATGTATTGACATTAATCTTTTAAGGGGTCGTTTGGTATGGCAGATTATCATGGATTGGGCTAAATTCTCGGACTCTCTTGGATTAGCTCGGATTGGCTTAAGCTGGATTAAGTACTGACCTACATTTGGTATTGCGCCAGACTAAAAAGCTATATTGTAAAAATAGTGAAGACCTATATTTGGTGTTGTATTGGACTAAAAAATAATTATTTTAATAATTAATTTTAATTAAGGATTTTGACCTAAAAATAAATAAAAAGAAAACAAATAAAATTATAATATTTAATTTTAATTAAAGATTTTGACATAAAAATAAATAAAAAAAAATTATAATATTTTTTAAAGGCTAAAAATTATCTCTCTTTTTCTTTTTTCTGTTTTTTTTTCTTTATCCGTCTTCACTCCTTTGTCTTTTCTTCTTCCTTTCCTTCCCTGGCCCGCTTCCTTTTTATTTTTTCTTTCCTTTCTATCTTCTTCTTCCTTCCTTCCTTTTCACTCTCTCTTTATGCCTCACTATTTAAGATTTCGTTTGGAATTTTGTTTCGTTTGGAATTTTTTTTGCAGCCACCACATACCCATAAGTGGATCTGGCTCTCTTAAAAGTTGGGGTGCGGAGGCCACGAGCCCCTCGGGATGAGGATGGTTGCTCACTCGACCAGACTGGGGGCAGATCCAATTGAACCATCAACCCAGAAGTGGGTCTGTGGTGGCTAGTTATGAGTTCGATGATGCTGGTCAGACGGTCGTGGACTCGTGGTGGTGGTGGTCGGGCTCGCGTGTTTCATAGTGGTGGTGGTATTCAGCAGGACTCGTGTGTTCAAAATAGCACCCTCGCTATTTTGCGAACTATGTTTCGGGCTCGCTGTATTAGATAAGCGAGTCCAATATTTTTTTCCCCATTGGACTATACAATCCCATTTAAACTAATCATCTCCCTTACCAAACATGGATTTCAAGTACTATTTAACCTAATCCTATCCAGTGAAGCATAGTAAGGCATGCTAAACATGGCCTAAGTTTGTATTGTTTCTAGACTCTATTTAGTGAAGGTATGGAAATCTACACAATTTCAAGTTGAGTGATGCTAAACAAACCCTAAAATTAACTTAGTACACTCTACTATCAAACTATTTATTGAATTACTAATTTACCCTAATATAAAATGACCAAAAAGAATATATTGAATTGTGAAGCAAATGTAATTTTAATAAGTACACCTTACTCACCATATTCAACCCTAATATTTGATGGAGGCAACGTTGAATGCTATGAATCCAACCCAACCCCACCACCACCGTCCCTCCCTCTCTCTCTCATCCAAATTATCTTATTTCCTCTAAAAATTTTGCAACGAGTCAAAATCTTCCATGTGTATGTGGCATTCGTCCATTAGACTTGGTTAATGCATTCAACCCACCCAAAACAATAATCATTTGATGTTCATCTACGGTGTTGGTGGTTTCAAGTGAGCATATTCCCAAACGGCTCTTACACTTGCCCACTAGAACTCCAGCTCCTCACCCTCTGATGAATCTAATGACAATTATGTTGCTGTTTGCACCATAAACACCAACTTCCAACAACAAAATATTTCTTCTTAATTAGATACCTTGGGGATTGATAGCAACCTCAACGGTCTAAGAAACAAACCCACATTGGAATTTTCCTTCTTCCACTAGTTGAAGGGAGATGGGTTCCAACACGATATTACGCACTTATTAGAATCTTATGCTTGTCGGGTCTGGGTTGGCTGGCGATAAGCAGGGGAAGGGTGGAGTTGGGTTGTGTTAGAGAGAGAGAGATAGAGAGAGAGAGGTGGTGGTGGTAGGGTTGGGTTGGATGCGAGAGGGCTTAAGTCGGAGGAGGAAAGGCGGGGGGAGAGAGAGAGAGAGAGAGAGAGAGAGAGAGAGAGAGAGAGAGAGGTGGTGGTGGTAGGGTTGGGTTGGATGCGAGAGGGCTTAAGTCGGAGGAGGAAAGGCGGGGTTGGCTGGGTAGGGGGAATGATGGGAGGTCGATTTAACAGGGTAAAGTGTTGTTAAGTGGTTTGCCACATGTCAAAAAAATAGAAGGGAAAATGTCAGGCACATGGCATTTGGTAACAGTAAAATTGGACTCATGAATGGGTTAGGTGTTGTGTGATAGAGTGTATTAGGGTGTACCATGAGTATTTTTGGTAGTTAAATAGGGTGTCCTGAGTTAATTTTATAATTTATTAAATATTAGGGTGTACTTAGATTATAGGGTGTACTCAGGTAATTTTAGGGTTTGTTTAGCAACACTCTTTCAAGTTTTGTATGCATGTGATGTAAAGAAATAAAGAAGATATGTGTGAATATATGAGATTCTCTTGATTCGAGGCCTTTTTTTTTATTTGGTTACAGGAGGGGAAGCCCAAGAAGAAACCAAAAAAAAAAAAAAAAAAAAAAAAAAAAAAAAAAAAAAACACCCTGGACACAAGGCTAGGCAGTGGTCATCCTAACAGAATCATTTACCAAGAGGCTTACAATAGAAGGAGGGGGAAATGTTATAGGATGATATAAGGCTTAAATGTTTAAAAGTAAATGCATTCAGGTTTTATTTTATTTTATTGACAATTTTTTGTTTGTTCAAGATGCGTTTAGAATATATCTAATAGGTTTTATCTCATGTCTTGTTATATTGTAATTGTGTACTGTTATTGTTGCGCATAAGTTGAAATATTTTCAAGCATCGAATTAACTTGTCATATTTTTTTAGTTACCATATGAAGATAGAAGTGAAAACATATACTAAATTTAATTAATTGTGAAATTCCATGGGGGAGAACTTTAACATCTAGAACTATGATATAGGGCTTTTGTCACTCAAACCAAAGTATCCGTGCTACAATGAATAAAACAAAGAAATGCACGATAAATTGTACCCCAAAAAGCCCATGATAAATGAAAAACCAACCCCACCTCTCCGTAAAAAAAAAAACCCCACCTCTACCCTGTCCTCAGTCCTCCGACAAAGTTTGATGAATCGAGCCCACACCAAAGAAGCATAATGCCCACCCAAACTCTCATCTTCAGTGGAGTAGGTTCCAATCATTTTCATGAAGCACGAGGTTGATATTCCTCAACCTTAGGCTCCACATCCTACAAGTTGTGTGGATTTAGTGACTACTTTGTGTCACGGGCTTGCACCTTCTTATTAGAGTGAGCATCTTCGATGAAGTAGGCAAACCTTATTTGTCTAGACACAAAAGTATTTTTATTTAGTATCATAATGTGATTACTTAGTCATAATTAAATATCAAATTCATTACAAATATCATTCTTGCATTCATTGGCGGACCCATGAATTTTTTAGCGGAGGTGCAATTTTGAAAGGCTAAAAACTCTTTGTGGATTAAACATCTAAGGCTTTTTACCTAGATTGACCTTAGGTCCCTTCATGCATTCATATCATACACGAAAAATTGTTTTATGTAAAAATATTGACTAAGTATGAAAAATGGTTTTTCGGAATAATCATTTTCTTAAGATAATTTTTGGCGGCTTTTATTCATTACACATCAAATAAGAAAACTTGATTTTATGGGATTTTATTATGAAGTATATATTGACTTAATGAGCTATCATTTTTAGCCTAAATCATATTTTGCACTAAAATCGATTTTTCAAATTTTGATTTGGGGGGAATTTGATTTTCTAGTATTTTTATTTGAATCCAAATGGGGGATACTTCCTTATTTACATTATAAACTTAAGTAAATGAAGTAATATAAAAATAAATGAAAGTAAAAAGACAAAGATATTTACACCACCACCAGATGGAAATAAGGTAATCTGTACACCACCACCAG